TCGTCCGATGGGTCGTGCTGTTGTAGTTCTCAATAACAGCAGCTATGAGCTTCTGGGTTAGTCACTTTGGTTCGATTTTGACAAGGCGCTGCTTCAGAGTTCTATTGAAGCGTTCAATTTTACCCATTTTGGCGTGATCTCCAGGCTCATTGTTGAAATGATCAATTTTCTTAGTTTTGAATAATTTCTGAGCCTGTTGGTTCATGAATTCTGAACCATTATCGGTTGTGAGAATGTCAACCTTATGGAGGCGGACAAAAACCCTAATTGCTGCTAGTACGGTCGGGCCAGTTTTGTTGGTTAGTAGTTTTGCGTAGCCTAGGCGAGAGTTGATGTTGATCGCAGTCAAGATTGGTCTTTTCTCCCAAAACGCCAAGTCCATCTGCCACGAATTGGGGTTAGTCGATGCGATTTTGAACCCATCGTATCGCTTCTTCTGCTCCTGAAATCGCTGAATATCGCTCTGGTTTGAGTACCATTCCGTGACGATTTTCATCGTAATCTTCGGCTCCAGTTCTTTAGCCTTCTGGTATAAGGCTTGGGCACCCACATAGCCCGTTTTGGGGTCATAGTATAATTTGGACAACAGCTGATCCATCGCTCTATATGGTTATAAAACAAAAAAATCCCCTGCCAGGTAGTTGCTTCGGTTCGGTGGTGATACCATCCGCAAGTACACGACGCTTGTCATAATAGTAGTTTAGAGCTGTTTTAGTCTGGGTGTACGTAATGATTGACTTACTCTCCTTACTGAGTCTAAACCCCTTGTTGGTGCCCTGTAGCGTGATGCGATCGCGAACAACTGATTCAAAGCCATCTGGGTTGAGGACGTCGCCATTGCGGCCACCACTCTGCTGGACTCCCTTCGCTGAAACCTTGACCTTGTAAGATTCGTCTGGTAGGTAGCCAATGTAGTTCTTAGAGGACAATGATACCATAGCATCACCAGACCACTCATCCTTGAACAAACCTGGCGTTCGGCGATCAAACTGAGCCATCTCTTCGCTATAATCACGTGGGAACCACTCGTACTTATGCTGCTGAAAATGCTCACGAAGCTCGGGCTTGATACACTCAACGAATGGCTTCTCACAGCTGAACGCAATATAAGCCGAGTCTGTGTCCATTTCTTGGTACTGGAATTCCGAACGGTCGAAGTAGAAGTCAATGCAATCATAGTAGAATTGCAACATACGGACCTTAGCGAGCTGATAGATTGCAATCGATAGATGAATTGGGTTCTTATTGTTGAGCTTCCGCTTCTTCATAGTGAATTCACATGAATTATTCAGCTCTTCCATTCCATGGAAGGTGAAGTGCTCAATCTTGGCCTTGATTGCCTTATCGTCCGACTCATTCCTGACCTCTTTGTGCTTGCTCATGTCCATGCCAGATCGACCAAACGCACTATTACCAACCAGTTTCATCATCTCAGCAATCATAGCCTTATTATTGCTACCCTCACTAAGCGTTTTCAGCTTAGTCAACAAGTCTAGAACCAAATGAATCTTAGGATTGGTTGTCGATTCATTCATGAATCTATCGATAATGAGCGCATCAAATGATTTGGGTTCGTAATGATTTTTTTCAACTCTTGGACTAAATCATCCATATCAGAGTCAGATACCTTCTCAATAATGATCTTACAGATGGATTTAACATTTTCATCACCCTCTCGTCGCGCGCTCGATACGGCTTCCATGAATGGTGCAAATGCCTTGTGAGAGCTAGCCTTGATGAAGCTGTAAGTCTTGGTGATCTCCATACCATGAGAAATGTACCATTTGAGTAGCGGTGCATAAATGAGGATCTTCTCACCAAAGTAGCTCCCGATGAGTTTGCGAGCCGGCTTTGCTCGGCTTTGCTTGCGCTCCTCGTTGTACTCGAACATGTGCTGACCGATGACACTCCGATCGCTGCAGTCGATGAGGGTGTTCTTGAAAATTGGGGTCATTTCACTGAAGTAGGGTTTGAGGTGCTCTGGTGTACGGATATCACACTCGAGGAAGCCAAAGATCTTGTCATATACAATATCATCGACGATCCCTGTGTATGCTTCGATGGTAGTCAACCGTCCACATCGCATCTCATTACCAAGAGCCCACAAATACAGAGCATTAGCATCGTAGCCGATGATCTTTTTGCAGATCCTACCCCCTCGAATCTTGGTCTCGTTGCGTTTCGCGTATCTGGTGAAGATGATAGAAGGACCACCAGCAATGTTCGCCTTCATCTTGGTGTAGATTCTCCTCTCTATCGATACTGCACACCAACCTGTCTGAGTTGAATTCAAGTAGCTTCTTGTGGCGGAAGTCCTTTAGCGACATGTTCTTGCGAGCAACGTTGCATCCCACACAGCTGATCAAGATATTACCATCGATGTGTCCGAGCTTGTTATTGATTCGGTCAGCCGAAGCAGTATCAGCTGTGAGTTGCTTGTAGCATAGCCCACACAGGTACTTTTGTCGCTCTAGCAAGTCGTTGAGGTGTTCTAGCGTCATATTGAATTCACGATCGGCATCAGCATCCTGGGTCTTATATCCACTTAAGCGACTAGCGGGAAAGTCAAACGCTTCAGCAGGCTCCTTACTTGGTTGCTGGAGGTTGTTGAAGCACGTCTGATACATGACTTTCTCAGAGAGACCAGGTAGCGACACACCATCAGTGAACATATCAAGTTCGAAACGTTTGAATAGTTCTCGCTGGGCTTTGATGGCCTTGATGAAGGGTACTACATCGAGGTTGTTGTACCAAATGAGTAGATCCTTGATTGACTTCATGTCATAGTGTTCCCAGACGAACTGTACCCGCACATAGTCCTCATCGCTGATGCTAGTGCTACGAAGAGCACTGTCGAACGCCGACTTAGGAGGGACTTCCGGCTGACTGAGTACCTCAAATGAAGTAATGTACTCGTATGGGAAGATGCCTTTTCCAAGGCCACAGACGCATCGAATCTTGTCATCACACTTGCACTCACCGAGATATGTCGACAAGTACTTTGCATAGCTGGTGCCTGCCGGAACATAGTTGCTGATGTCAAGCATTTTCATGTCTGACGTGGCGATGCACATGTAGCTAGGGTTCTTGATGACTGATGTGATGTTGTCAGTACCGATGACTGCAAACAGGTCCGCCTTGATAAGGTTGATGTCGTAGCGTCCAGAGTTGAATCCGAATACTGGTACCTGACCAATGCACTGCTTCAGCTTGCCATAATCCGAGCGCTTCTTACCGAATGTGAGCTTGCTGTGGAAATCGAAGAAACAAGCAAACTCCCCGTTCTGAATCCAAACATTGACATCATCCATCTTGTACGTCTAGAACAGGAACCTCAGCGTCAGTCAAACCATGGACGTTGATGATTTTGCGGAGCAAAGACTCGTACTTCGAGACGTTGTACTGCTGAATCTTAGCGGCAACTTCCTTGATGTACTGGAACATATCCTTGAGCAACTCCTTCGGGTCATCGCTGACAAAGCATCGCACCTCCTCAGTCAAGCTGTCGGCCCAGGAATGTGTTCGTTTGTGAAGATAGTATTCTCTCCGTTTTTGACACCCGTAGGCTTGAGGATAGCCTCAAAATCATAGACAATGAAGTGATCGATGTAATGGTCAGCATCCTTGATGGAGTACTTAGTCAGCATGGAACGAATGCTGTTCGGAGCGGGTTGGTAGATGGTTGGCTGAGCTGGGAACGATTCGATGTTCACGCGTTCGCATTGGTTCTTAGTGTGGTTGCGTAGCTTATCAGAGCTAACAAACACCATCTCACACGTAGAGCATTGGTACTTCTGCTGGAGCATATCAACGTTCGTGATGTAGAGAGCGTGATTCGTGCGACAGGATGTTGATCGAATCATAGTCCTTGTCCGAGCAGCGAATGCATTCAACCTTGTCCGACTCAACATCCATGTTGAAGACGTTGATGTTCAGCTTGAAGCACTCCTCAAGCTCATCGAATTGGAGAATGTCGATAGGCTTGAAATTGCGGAACAGACCCAGAGTGTAGGTGATCTCCTTGTACGAACAGTACTGCTTGAAGGCTTGTTTGACCAGAGCCTGGATTCTGCGAGGATCCTTCTTGGCTCCCTCCTGCTTGTGATAAGCAATGCAGTGGAAGACACACTTGTTGTTCGTCTTGGGGAAGTTGATGACGTGCTTGTTATCACGAATCACCTTAGGAATGACAGCCTCGCTATCACCCAGAGCATGGTCGCGTTGGTAGATATAGATATTGAAGCCAGTAATCCCCTTCACCATGTACCCGGAGCTGGGGTAGTTGAGCTTGTCAGCCAACTCCATGGAGCGAATCTCCGAGATCACCTTCTTACGAATATCATCCTTGCTGTTGATAGCTACAGGAGTGCTAAATACAGATGTGTTGCTAATATTCGGGTGGAAGTAGCGAGTCTCGCTGTCATCAGTTCTGCTGACAAGCTTGTATCCAAGAGCGATGTTGACCTTGAAGGTAGACTTCTGGGTTGCGAGCACGTTCTCGAGCTTGTCGTAGAACTCAGCAGGCTGAATTTCCTCGTAGAGGTGCGACTCCATGTTCTTGCCTTGGTAGAAGCGGTACTTACTGTCTTCCTTGAAATCAGCAGCCACATTCTTTTGGAGCTTGCCTAGACTGATCTGGTACTGCTTCGCTACCAATTTTTGGTTGGTGGGGTGGGAAATGTTGCTAATGTATACCATGCGCCCCGTCTTGCCACGTACCTTAATACGGTAGCTACTACCCCATCGAATGAATTGAATATTTAATCTCTTTAATCCTTCGAGTTCGTATGCAAACATGTTGTCTATATATGCTTGACTATATTATTCTCCGTAGATATGACTTTATAATTATTTGACCTTGTATCAGGATCGACTTTATATCTTAGTCATTTACAAAATATTCTGAAATTAATTAATTCAAATATTTGGCTTATACCTTTTTGGAGGTTTTAAGCCATTGTCTTTGACTATATTGGGATTGACTTTTTGAGAAAAAATAATTATTTAATTAAGTTCGGTTTCATTATTAAGTTCGACTTCACCATCAATAAGTTCGGTTTTGGGTTTACGCTTGCGAGCTCGAAGTCTTTTTGATAAGATAAACGGGCTTCGCGTGTGCGCTGGTAGTAGCGCTTCTGCGCTGCTTTGATACGTTCCTTGCTAGCTTGGTATTGCTCAGGAGAGTACGTCATCGTTGTATATTAGTAACTTTATATTTATCACGATCGATCAACAAATACTTGGTAATTGAGAAGTTGAAGACACCATGCTTCCATTAAATTATTCATTTCCTCTTTCCTCTTCCTCTGTTTCTCTTTGTGCTCTGTGTGGGTTGTTGTTGTTGAGGTTGTCGCTGAGCTTCAGTAGCAGGAAGCAGCGAAGTGTGCTCGGTCAATTCTTGATGCTGGGCTTCAGCAGCAAAAGTCAGGTCGGTCATTTCTTGTCGCTGGGCTTTTAACGGTGTCTCGTCCTTCGCTTCCTCGATCATGTTGTCAAGCTTCGATTTCCAATGTTGCGAATATGACAGAATCGGCCCCATCACAATATCAACACCAATCATCTGACACATGAACAGCGAGCGGCCAGGAACTGTTAAACATCCTTTTTCGTCGGTTGGATTCTCTCCATAGGCCACAACAATGAGTGTAATGACCGCCAATATGGCAGGTACGACGCATTGAGCGTTGATGATCCACCGTCTGAATCCTGCTCTACACAAGAAATTACCAACAACATATTCAAACAATTAGGGGCCAGAATACGTACGCTTATATATCAGCGCTCTGGAAGCAGTTTCACCCATGTCAACGCGAACATGACCCGGAACCACCACCAGCACGTGGATCTGATCGGTAGAGGGTGGAGGCATCTCGTTCTTCTCGAACAACCAGTGCTGCAAAGTCTTCGTCGCCTTCATCTTCTCTCCATCGATCAACGCTTGAATGTCCTCGTGAATCTTTCCGTCCTCCAGATCCAGCGCAGCTTGGTCGTCGTCTGGCAGCCACGCGCCGCGGCCCTCGTCTTTCTTCGCCAGGAAGAGCTGCAGGTCGTTGGCGTCGCACGTGATAGTCGCCGGGTTCTTCGCCTTGATCGCGTCCTTCAACGCGGAAACCGATGCACCCTCGTCGATATCCACCTCGAACGCACTGCCCGCCGCACCAACGATCGCGCAGAAGAGCTTCACCATCTTTCCTCGAGCCGGCAGATTCTGGAAGGTAGAATTTCTGGCGTACTTAAGCGAACATGAAGGCGTGTGACATAGATTTTCAACCAATGATGAGACGCCACGTCGCGCTGGTCCGAACTACTAGTAAAATCTGCCGGCGTAATGTTCTATTGGTTTTATCAATGACTTGTGTCGAGATCGCATAACGAACGTCGTCTGATTGGCTAATATTCTCATCACTAAAGGGCAGTACTCACTCTGCAGATCCCACGGGAACGGTGTCGAGGTAAGACGAACAAGCATCTATCGAACGAGCTAATGTGCTGCGTCATCACGACTAACGCCTTGTTAATGCTGTTAACCTGTGGGGGTATACCAGTAGGGCGTATCCACGTACTGCAACCGGTAATCAGCATGCTGGAGAGTCGTGCCATGACATTGGAATCGCGAAAGATGTAGGAAGAAAGCAAAGCATGCTTCGGTAGCAGACCTTGGCGAAGAAAATCGGCGTGCGTCACCAGGGAAGCAAGGCACAGCTGGAGCACAGGTGCCACGTGTGCGTCGGCTTTCAATGCGGGAAACATTGCTTGGTACAGTCTCGAATAAATTCGGCTTGCGGATCCTTGAAGTGAGGGGGCAACGCAGCAAATTGAGAGCTGTTTTGAGGCAGGCCAGCAACTACCCGCCCGAGATATTGATCACCAGCAGCTTCGTACCGAAAATACCGGTCTTGAACACCACCTAGCGACCACCCGCATCTCAAACACACACTAACAATTGACAGACCACCGGTGCTGCCACTGCTAGCGTACGTAGCGACTCCTTTTCGGATGGAGTGAGTCCCGTACGCCTTTTCTCCCGTAATCTCCTCGAGCATTCTCCCAATTGTCTTGCAAAATCTTGATTTCTGGTTGGAGCCCGGGAACAGTTTTCCAGGGACTAGCGTTGGGTTGGAGCCGAGATAGAGTCCGAGTGCCAGCACCCAGCAGCAGTCAGGCTGCGAAGGATTCGCGTAGATGTGCCGGGGGTAGAAGGAGGCCAACGACAGACGCATTTTAAACCAATCAGAGTGGGTAAATTGGTGTAACGAGCACGCGATACGCATTCGTGTTCAAATCTCTTGACGGAGGAGGCTACAGCCATTGCTGGCTGGAAATTGGAGAGATCAAAATTTGTTGATTGAAAACGTAAGATGTCCAGGTTACGGGGGCTTTAATTTGTCTATACTGGCGATACTATAATTGGAGATTGTAGTTTGAACGAGCGGTCCCGAACCGCCCTAAGATCCAAAAGACGTGGCTCTCGCTATAAAGTGGGCGTCGTCAAATCAACGTCTATTAGATCTGACCGGTTCTGAGGTTCTAAAACTACCCTCATATCGAAAAGACGTGGCTCTCGCTCTCAAGTGGTCGAGAGGGGGTCGTCGTTGAAATCGCTGCTGTCCCGAAAGAAGGTTTCAGGAATGTTCTCGGTGGTAAATTACGGTAAGGAAAAAAACTGCCGGCGTAATGTTCCATGACCCACTACTAGCACTGCCCAAGGAGAAGGAGTATCCGGGTTGGTGATCAGTGACGCCGAGATGCAGCCGCCCTTAAGCACACTATATCATGCACACGTACGCTAGAAGCAGCTTCATGCGAGATTTTGCTAGGGTTACACGTGCTGGAGCGAGCCACGCTTCCTGAGTGAGCATTGCATTTTCTACCTCGCCTTGCTGATCACCGAGTACGCCCCCTCCATACGCGCAATGCTCGTGGGGCTATTAAGAAATTGTGGTTCAACAGGAAGGTGATAAAGCTGGTGATGGTGGTACGCCATGCTGCTCCATGTAGCTCATGTAGTGCATGTACCCCTCTCTCGTTGTTCTCCAGTACTCGATGGCGCTCCCGCGGCACCAACGCCGTAGGCGTTGCACACTACAGCGATGAAGTACAGCAAGGAAGTGGAGGCTTTGGAGGCTTCTTTATCCAATATTGTACACTCGCTAGGATAGCAGTGTGAGTTGAGCCGATGGCTCTGCCATTTCTTCTCGTGTATCGCCTACGGTGAAGACGTTAAACGCAGCTGCTACAAACAAACAAGTTGAACTTCAGCAGCACTTCAACATCGTGGACCAAAAACGACGCATTTAGTCTCCATTGCCCAATTATAGTCCCTCCCACGGACCATTTCGCGCCGTTTGACCACCGAAACGCCACGCACGCATTGCACAATTAGCTCCCCTCCTCGGCCACCTGCAGCGGCAGCCCCAGTAGCGTAGCTCCCCTCACGCAAGTGTCATGGCCTCTTCCGAGTCTTCGCCGCTGCTGCGGACGACCAGCGCCGCGGCCGCTCTGAGCCCGTCGCAGAAGCAGTCGGCGCTCCCGGTCTCCCTCCCCGACGCGCGCGCCCCCGGCCACACGGAGGAGGGCTCGGCCTTCTCGTCGTTCCTGGGGCTCGCCACGACCATGACGGGCGCGTGCGTCCTGACGCTGCCGGGCGTGGTGCAGGCCGTGGGGCAGGTGCCGGCGCTGCTGCTGTTCGCTATGAGCGCGTGGCTGGCCTTCCACGCCTGCGAGATGCTCAGCGTGTGTTGCGACGCCGCCGTCGAGTTCTCGTACGAGGCGCTGAGCTCCCGCCTCTTCGGCGCCGCGGGCGTCTGGGCCGTGCGCCTGCTGACGCTCGCGCTGCTGTTCGGCGCCATCGTGAGCTACATGGTGATCGCCATGGACCTGTTTGAGCCCTTCCTGGAGGGCGTCATGAGCCGCCGCACCATCAGCCTGGTCTTCATGCTGCTGGCCATCCCGCTCTGCCTCCCGGAGACCATCCACGAGCTGCGCTTCGCCAACATGCTGGTGCTCGTGTGTCTGCTCTACATCCTCGTGGCGCTGGGCATCCGCACAGCGCAGAACGACCCCGAGTTCGCGGCGCAGATCCCCAGCAACCCCGCCGACGAATTCGACTCGGAGCTGGCCGCCATCGCCTACGCGCTGCCTATTGTCACGCTGAGCTTCGTGTGCCAGCTGAACGTCCCGCGCGCGTACCAGGAGATCCACGACAAGACGCAGATGACGCACGTGCACAAGGCGCTCGTGGGCTGGGGGCTCTTCATCTATCTGCTCTTCGCCTATCTGGGCTACGCCTGCTTCCACGGCCAGCCGCCGAGCGACATCCTGACGGGATTTGCGCCCGACGACATGCTCATCAACGGCGCGCGTCTCGCGCTGGGGATCAGCATGGTGTTCAAGACGCCCATGACCTTCCAGCCGCTGCGTCAGCTCGTGGAGATCTGCTGCCTGGGCCACGACCGCGAGAGCCTGCCCTTCCGCACGGCGATCACAGTGGTCTTTCTGCTCCTTGCGCACCTGTTTTCGGTGTCTTCGAGCAATCTGGGCACCGTCATGGCCTTCGTGGGCTCGGTGGCAGGCAACGTGCTTGCTCTCACGGTTCCTGGTCTCTTCCTGTACGAGGTGTCACGCGGCTACCTTGTGGAGCGTGACGCCTTCTACTCCCCGCGGCTGGCGCTCATTTTTGCCTACGCTGGCGCCGTGTTCGCGGCGGCCTCGCTCACGTACCTCTCGTACAACGCGCTTGTTGGATAAGTCTCAGCATGCTAACCTTTAGACGCAGACCATGCACAACACAGCTCCCGATGCACCATGCACAAGCAAGCCAACACCAAGCAGCACAATATCAAAGACGTATCGCTTTTCTCCCGTTTTAAGTAAGTTGGTACCGCCAGTGTTCGCGCGAGTCTATTTCATGCTGCAGCCCATGAGCTTCCTGTTGAAGTTCTCGCGCTCGTTGTGCTTTTTGCTCTTGAGAATCTTGACGGTGCAGCAAACAGCACAGAATCGCCCCTCGTCCTTGTCCTTCAGCGTCACGTTGCTGCCGTCGGAGGTCGACTTGCGAATGTCCGCCGCCTTCTCCGAGCAGTTCTTGCAGACCGCGCGGCCGCACAGCGCGCAGTCCTTCAGAGGGTCCAGCAGGCTCTTCGGGTTGCGGCAGATCTTGCAGCTGCCGCGCACAATGTCGGACGGAGCCACCTGCGAGCCCTCCGTCATGAACGTAATGAGCTTCACCAGCAGCTTCTTCGGGATCGTGTCGCTCACCATGACGCCGTTGTGGTCCGGGACGTTAATGGAGGCGCCGCCCTGCACCAGCGCGCCGCCGATCTCGCCGAGCTGACGCTCCACCGCCATGTGCAAGTACGTAGTGCCGTTCACCAGCTCGTTCAGCGCCGTGACGGGCACCGGCGCGCGGAGACCCGAGGGCGACGAGGGCGACGTAGGCGTCGACGACGAAGACGACGACGACGAGCTCTTGCCTTGACGGAACTTTTCGATGAAGAGCTTGGTGATGGTCGCCGGCGTCTCCGGCTTGGCCGTCAAGATGTGGATGGCGAGCGGCGTCTGGCCGCGCACGTTCATGGCCGACGGGTTGGCGCCCAGGTTGAGCAGCAGCTCGACGAGGTCGGCGGCGTTGGACCTGGAGCTGCTGGCGGCGAAGTGCAGCGCCGTGTTGCAGTGGCGGTCGCCGGCGTTCAGGTGCTCGGACAGCCGCGGCAGCTTGGCGAGCGCGCGCAGCACGTCGAAGTGGCCCTTCTTGGCGGCGATGTGCAGCGCGCTCTGCTGGTTCTTGCGGTCGCGCAGCGCCAGGATGCCGGCGGACGACGTGACGCTGAAGCGGCGCGCGGGCTCGTCGTCGTCGGGGCTCCACTCGGTGGAGCTGTTGCTCGAGTTGGTGCTGGTGGTGGAGCTCGTGCGCGCCGGGTCCTCCAGGTCGTAGCCGTACTTCTGCAGCGTGGCGATGAGCAGCTTGGCCTTGGCGGCCTCCTTCTCGTCCATAGTGTCTGTCTCTGTGTGGGGATCGTCTAGCTGGTCGCCAAGTGTCTGTCAGGCTGGCGGCGCCGATTGCGGACTAAGCACAGGAATAGCAGGCTCAGGTTCAGAGGACAGGCAACGCCGACAACAGGCAACGACCGACTTGACACCGCCGTCCAAACCTGCAAATGATCAGGAGGAGCGGTCGATGGCGAGACCACGTCGGCTTGCTCGAAGCTCTCTGAATATTTCACTGGGCTCGCGCATGCGTTTCGCTATAAATAGAGAGTGCTTCGCGGAAGGGGCACTTTATGGTTCCTGTGAGACTGAATAGTCATAAAGCGTGCCTCTACTACAGCAAATGCATCAACACTGAACCTTTCATAACGAATTCCTACGTCGAAGCGGATATACCTGTACCACAACCGCTCTGACAGGGATCGAAGCCCATTGGCTGGATTCTCAGTGACGATTGCACACAAAAATCGTGGATCGGAGCCATGACGACGCTATGGGGTGCGGCTAATGAGGCTGCGTGGGCTGCAGCCTGGGCGAGCTACGGCTCGGTGCTCGCCTCCGTGCAGGTTCGTGAAGATAGCCTCGAGGCAGTGGGGGACACGTCAAGCCAACGCTGATCTCTTAATCACTGCGTGGCGCGTAGAAGAGCGAGCTGGCGGAGCTGGATGGCTGGTATCTGGCCTCTTTTCCGCCGATTCTGCGGGCGCGCGAGCCCGAGCCATTCGTGCAGAAGCAGGAGCTGCAGCGCCTCATGGAGTGGAAGCTCAAGAAGGGCAAGTGGTGCGTCGCGGCGGCTTGAGGCCCACACAAACGTTTAGGAGCCGCGTCTTGACTTTCTCTGGTTCAGGAGACCGCAGCTCATGAAGTTCGTGAGTAACTTGGGCGAGAGCGAGGTGGAGCAGGCATCGCGAGACGCCTTCAAGCAGCTTAAGGCCGGCGATCTTCGAGCAGCCACGGAGGAGCTCTGCGCACTTAAAGGGGTGCGTTATGTTGCGTCCTCCTGCCATGCTGTGACGTTAGTTACCGTGCCTAGCGACGCCCAGCTGGTTGCTACGTTGGGACGAATTACTGACGGCGGCAGTTGTGCTAAAATCCAGGTGGGGCCTGCTACGGCGTCGGCGGTGCTGGCAGCGTACGATGAAAGCGTGCCTTTCATGGCGGACGAAGCGCTCGAGGCCATCGCCGGTGCGTTTCAACCATGACAAGCGAGTTAGCCTGTCCTCCATCGAGGAATAAGCCTGAACTGATGTTTGCTTGGTGCTTGGTGTGTGCGGTGTTCGCGTGTTCGTTTAACACAGGAATCATCGGCCCGCGCAAGTACACGTTGCCGCATTTTCTGAGCTTCGCGGAGCAGTTACGCGCCAAGGCAAAGTGGCTGAACGAACAGCGACCTGCAAACGACGGCGAGGAAGCCGGAGCCTCCGCGTGGACAGCGCAGCGCGTGCAGTTGTGTCTGTATGCGGAGGCGCACGACGGAGCTGCTGCCACTCCCGTCAACAAGAAGACTAAGGCCGCCTCTCCTGCCGCCAAGCGGAAGCGTGAAAAGACTCCGTCTACGGCCACGACACCTCCTTCCGCTAAGAAGAAAAAGGAGAACAAGGCGGAGGAAGAAAGCACCGAAGACCAAGATCGACCCCTTCGTCGGTCGCAGAGGAAGCGGCAGTCGCCGGCATCCTAAAGAGATCGCCGCGCGCATTATCAGACTGGTTAGTCATGGCAGTCGTGTTATGGTAACTTCAACTTCAACGCGTTCAAGTATCGTTTTGCTCCCCATCAATCCTCAGATCTTGTCGTTTGCTCGACTTCGAGCAACGCACCGATCCGTTCCCTGGCACAACAGCAATTCAAGCGCCTCGGCGATCCGAGTCCAGCTCTCGGCGTGGGCAATGGCCTCAGGCAGATAGCCAAACTTGCGCTTGATCTCACCGCGCACGAGTCTCAAGTACTGGCGCACTTCACCCGCCACGAGACGGAGGCGAGTTGCCATGTCTTCTCTGCGCTGCTGCTGCACGTTCACCAAGTGCTCGGCTTCTGCTACGCGTTGCTGAAGTCGCTCTTGCGATTCGCGTAGCTCAGCGATCTCTCGAATCTGTTTGACGTGTTCCGCGGCTAGTTTTTCAGGAACCCGTCCAGCATCCTGTATCTGCTCTTTCAGCCGCTTCATCTCTGCGTGTTGGGCCTCGTAGAGAGCTGCCTTGCGCTGCTGTAGAGCAAACGACTGCGCCAAGTGTTCTTGGAGCCACGATAGACACTTCGTCGCGACGGCGTCTAGTCCGGTCACTAGAGCTGCAGAGTTCACGGGAGCTGAAGACGATGATGATGACGATTCTGCATCTTCTTCCGCATGATCGGGAGTCACCGGGTCCTGGTTGTTGATGGTAATAGTGCCGGTACCATCGTTCTGGCTTGTCGTGGCTTCCGCTCTCTGCTTTTCGTCCTCCTTGGCGACCTTACTCTGATCTCCGCCACTCATGGACTCGTCGAGGCTCTCGCGCAGCGCTACAAGACGCTCAAGATGCAGGCGGAACGATTCGCCCAATGCCGCCAGTTGTGCCTCCGCTTCGTCCGCTCGACGCTTCCTGCTCTCGCTTTGAAGCTTCAGCGTGCCATTTTCACGCCTGAGTGTTTCGACCCGCAGCTGCAGAGCCTCTCGCTCTGCTTCCAGCTCGGCCGTGGCTAGTTCCAAGGCGCCTCGGGATTTCAACGAGCTTTCGACAGTGCGGAGTTGCTGCTGCAGCTGCTTAGCGCGTTCAACTTCTCGTGCTGCTCGGCGGCGAGCAGGGGCCATTGCGGCCATGTGAGAGACCGCCTTGTCCTTCCAGGCCAGGAGTTCCCGCACCTCGCTCTGCAGCTGCCGACACTCTTCACGCAGAAGAAAATTCTCATGCTGGAGCTGCTGTAAAGGCTCATACGCCAGCAGAGCCTCCGCGGCTGCCATCGCTGCTGACGGTGCTGGCCGAATGAGGCTTTCGACGCTAGCTGTCAGGGATGGTTTCACGAGTGTGCTGAAACAGTCGAGATGGCTAACGGACGAGAGACTCTTGCGTTTGCCGCACAACACCGACCCACGCGTTGATGGGCGGGTGGAGTTTCTCGTTGATGTGGAAGAAGTTGCTGTAGTCTCGTTCGTGGAGTTGCTCACTGCTTCCTTCACACCGTCGCTACTGTGGGTAGCTGCAGCATCCTCGATATGGACGAATATTGCGGCTCAAGTAATGCTAAAGAGGATGTCGGGACGAACCACCCACACTCGCGCTGCATCTCCGCCATCACACATCACCGCGAATCGCCACAACAACAAATGATCTACTGTACAAGTCTTATCCATATCCCAGTTGCTCGGTGCCGATGTTGTCGTTGAAGCACTGTGCATTGCCGCACCTTCCTCTCTAGTTTGTTCGCTGTGATACCTGCCGTCATCGACTCCAACGCAGCGACTGCCCAGGCGCCAGGGCTGCTGTCCCGAGTACTGTTAGCGTTGCCCGAACGGCACAATAGCCGGTAGGGTAGTTTAGTTGCTAGAGGAGATATGTAGTTCATGCCATCGAGTCCTCTCGAGTGTGTGCGTCAGCTCGTTGCTGCACCAAACAAGAAGTCGCCGCAGCCAGCACTGATGGGGTGGCGGTGACCTTGCGCGCACTTCAACCAGCGCCTTACCGCGCGCCTGTACTCAGGCTCCCTATCAAAATCTGTTTTCGTTTGCGCGTCTCTCGAAACCTGGCAGAGGAACAGTCTGGCCAAGTTACAGTCTGGTCAAGTACAATCACACGAGGAGAGAACTCAAGTCGAGTTGAGTCGCTCGTACGGACGCAGAGTAGACGAACGCACGCCCAGGCCCCGACAGCAGCAGCCGCAGCAGTAGCAGCCCCAAGCAGCGGCGCTCAGTCCGGAAGAAGAAGTCTCGGCCGAGATGAACACGTGCGCGGTGCAGGACGTGGCGACGCTGAGGCCGGCCGACCACATCTGCATCTGGGACACAAGTCGCTGGCCGTTCCGCTACACGCACCACGGCATCGTGTTCGCCGCCGCCGAGAGCGCGGACGACATCACCGTGGCCCACGTGTGGTCCCGCAAGAGCGGGCTGCGCGAGTCGCAGGCGGACTCGCGCTTCCAGCTCACGAGTCTGCGCGAGTTCCTGAACGAGCGGCCGACGCGCGACATGCGCCGCGTGCAGTACAACTCGTCGCTCGTGGCGGAGGCCAGCTCGCTGCTGGGCGAGGTGCACCGCGCGCACGCGGACGCGCCGCCCGTGGTGCTCGCGCGCTGCCGCTTCCTGCTGGGGCTCGGCCAGGGCCACTTCAGCATCCTGTCGCTCAACTGCGAGCACGTCGCGCTATGGTGCACCACAGGCGTGGGCTGGTCCAAGCAGCTGCTGTCTCGGACGGAGACCAAGGTGCCGTTCCTGACCTCGTCGGCCAAGGCGGCGGAAGCGCTCGAGCGGCTGGAGGTGCAGCTGCAGGCCATTCGAGAGGAGGCCAAGGAGAAGAACAGGAAGCTGGAGGAGCTGGCAGGGAAGAGGGTGTACCTGAGGCTGAAAGACAGCGGCAAGTTCGCCAGGAGGTTCGGCGACGCCTTGTACTTGGTGGCGGACGACCCGAGCGAGAAGGACTGGGCATTCAGACAGAGGCCGACGAGCTTGAAGCTGGCGGTGCGAGTCTCGGCGTACAACTGCGTGCGCGTAGAGTTTGAAGACTACGAGCAGCCTGGAGAGGTCCTGTACGCGAGCACTACGGGCCTGAGACTCACGCGCCGCCGAGCGCTGCAGTTCAAGCGCTCGTTCCAGTTCGAGCTCGGATGGGATGGAGAGCTGCAGAGCTTGCGCCACCGCCGGTGGTTCGTCGGTGCGCAGACTCGCGATGGACTGCTCCGGCCCTTCAACTCTCGGGACAAGGCTGCTTTGTTCGAGATTGTTGACGCCGATGACATGGACGCTCAGAGCCCAGTGATCGAGCCGTCTCCCAGCGACTCGGAGGACGATAACACTGAGTCTCCTGCGGACCGACACAGCAGTGGAGCTCAAGTTGGGCCGGAGTCGGAAGCTGCTGATGTAAAAGAGGAGGCAGACTCAAGCTGACAGAGGAAATGGACGTGTACGTATCCGCTCTCTATCTATTTCCTAACGCGGACAGCGGCAGTCAAGTCAACACCCGAAGTATTTTAATATGTGAGTTTTGTGCATTCTTAGCACCTTGCGTTCGTGTTCCACCTTGCTTGCCTATTTGTAGGTGAAGCCCAGCTCACGCTGCCCTCGGAATGGTGACGCCTGCAACGATTTCCTTGTCATTGCTGCGTCGGGGCTGCTGTGATGGCGAGTGACTTTGAGGACGACGTCCTGGGGGACGTGGATGCCATTTGCGGGTGGGAAGCCGCTGACTTCGACGATGACCTTCTGGGTCGTGGTCGACGGCGTACTGCTCAAGCTCCTGCCAAAGGTACAGCCAAGCGGAAGCCCCAAAAGCTGCCCGGGAGCTCAAGCTCTGGTGCCGCGTTGTTACCACTGGATAAAGCTCAACTACAACAACAACAGCTTGATACATCGCCAGATAAAATACGTCAAGTTGTCGATCGAGTCCCAGACAAGAAGGACCGACCTTCTGTTGTTCGCAAGCCAAAACAAAAACAGTCTCGAGAAACAAAGGAGCCCCAACACGAGGCACCCGCCAAGCCATCACCACGAACCGCTTCTATCCTCGAGGAGAATGCTGCTATTGCAGCTCTTGGACGCCAGCGACGAATGAAAGTCGTTGCAGCAGCGTTGGTAGCGAATGTACCTCGGAAGCAGGGCATCGCCTCGGTCGTCTCGGCATATTTCGATGGCGGATCGGATGATGAAGAAACGGAATCGAATTCGCTGGTGCCGTCTTCAGCACCACAAAAGCAACCAGAAAAACTGACCCGAGTCGTCGAGCCTTCGACTGCCCCTGCGCGGTCTATTGATCCACCCAAGAAGATCCACCCTCCGCTGCCACTCCCACTGCTCAGTATCAATCCAAATGCTGGCGGCAATGAAACACGACTATCCGGAAAGGATGAACCAGCATCGAAGGCACCACGGCATTGGCGACGACATCGGAAGCAGAAGAAGAATAGTTTGCTGCCGTCACGAGATGAATCTGAGCACTGGGAGTCTAATTTCCCTCCCAATCTCCGCCGATTCCATTCACCAAGGAACTATCCAGCAGGGGGCTCTGATAGCACCACCAGTCTTGTGTCGTCTTCGTTTACAAGTAATGTCCGAGCACCTTTGGCAGCTTCCGGTGATGTTGCACAGCGAACCAAGGAATTATTGCCTTTGATTCATCACACGACCGAGGGCTTCCACAATGTCACGGTGGTTGACTCTGCCGTCGATGGCGACGAAGTGGACACGAAGAACTTGCGAGACGTAGAGCGCGATGTGGAGGAGGAGGACGAAAACTGGACCCACTGTTATGACGACCCGGAAGCGATCACCAAAAGCATGGCGGGGCTCATCCAAGCTCTTTCAACCTTCGCGGCGGATGGCAAGAAAAAGAGGCCCTCCCAAGTCGGCAAGAGCAGGAAGCGGCGAGCTAAGCTTCAGCGGCAACAGCAGCAGCAACACACTTCGGCGTATCCTCCAGTATTGAGACTTCCACAGCCTGGAGAAATGAACGTCACTTCTGGTATACCTTCTACCAGTACTGGAAAGCAGCAAGAAAACTCGACGCGGAAGCACCGCAAACTTCCGAATAGCGTTGCAGCCCCAACATGAAGTAGCAGGCGTTTCACTCCAGCTTCCTTGTCGCTTCCACACAAATAGGCGCCGGGTCGTGTCGAGGCCAGTTTATCCGCCAGTTCCTCATGCGAGAGCTTCCGCGCCGCTTTCTCGTGCTCTTCTTGGCCGTTCAGGGGGCACTTCTCGACCACTTAGCACTTGGGTTTAGCTGTGACGGTGGCTGCAGCGGTCATGGAGCGTGCCAACGTGCTACTGGAAGGTGTACATGCTTCCCAGGCTTTGGCGGGGCTACATGCGCCTCAAGACTTTGCCCCATGGGCGCTGCGTGGGTGGATCGAGCGTGGGGGATCGACTTGGCGCACCAACCAGCGGAGTGTTCGGCCATGGGTCGCTGCGACCGAACCACGGGGACCTGCACGTGCGAGTCCGGCTTCGAAGGCTTGGCATGCGAGAGACTCTCGTGTCCCAATGCGTGCTCGGGCAACGGCCGCTGCGTGAGCATGCGGGACGCTGCAACGCTACGCGACGATCGCCAATTCTTCGTGAGCACAACGTACACGCTCTGGGACGCCGACAAGATTATGGGGTGTCAGTGCGACCCAGGCTTCACTGGAATGGACTGCTCCATGCGTATGTGCCCCCGGGGCGACGATCCGTTGACCACGGGGCAAGTCAACGCTGTTCAGACGGTCACCTGCACGTGCAACAGCTGCACGGGTACTTTCGCGCTCTCGTTTCGTGGGCGGGTGACGGCAAACCTCGCGTCGACAGCCACTTCGAGCGACTTGGAGACGGCACTGGAAGCACTGGACAACATTTATGGTGTGACTGTCGTAGCTGCTACCCCGCTTTGCAGTTCTGGCGGGACCACGACAGCTATCACGTTCACGAACAACCCAGGAGACCTACCGAGCCTTCAAGTGCTCAACAACCTCTCGAACGGCGGCACAGTGACAGTAACAACCACTACGACTGGCACGCGCGAGAGCGCCTATTGCTCGAACCGCGGCATCTGCGACTTCGCTACTGGAGTGTGCAAGTGCTTCGCGGGATTCTTCAGCGGGGACGGAGCTCAACCCGCCAGCGCGGGCCAACGAGGCGACTGTGGCTACCAGAATGGAGCTTCGGTTTGCCCGTCCACCACCAACGGCGTGTGCGATGGCAAAGGCACTTGTTCTGGAGCGCCGTACGTATGCACATGCAATTCAGGCTTCACGGGCTTCGACTGCTCGTTGCGCGAGTGTCCGAAGGGTGCAGCGTGGTTCGATGGCGCTACAGCCCCAAACACAGCGCACGCTTTGGCTCAGTGCTCTGGCAGAGGATCGTGCAGTACTTCGACAGGCGTTTGTACGTGCCTCGCTCCATTTACGGGGGCTTCCTGTGACTTGATGAAGTGTCCTGCAGGAACGTCAACGGTGACCGGAGCCACTTGCAGCGGTCGAGGCACGTGCAAGAGCATCCTGCAGCTCTCAGCGGAGGCGACGGGCCCTCAGGGCAATCTACTGGGAGTGACCTACGGAGCGACGCCAAACGCACTAGCCACGTGGGACGCGCTGAAGATCCAGGGCTGCGACTGCGAGACCAACGACTACTTCGGTCCGTACGAAAACGCCTACGGAGACTTCACTGGCGGACACGACTGCTACGCGCGGATGTGTCCGCGTGGCGCCGACCCGTTCGAGGTCGGCAAAGTGAACGAGAAGCAGACACTGACGTGCACAGCCGACGGAGGTCAGTTCACGCTCACCTTTCGAGGCGAGACGACGGCGGTCATCCCGTTCAACGCGGGGACAGCTCAAGTCCAGTCGACGCTCCAAGCGATCGACAGCGTTCGCACAGCCACGATAACCTTCGACTCGGGCACCACAGTGTGCTCTGCAACGGGCGTCGGTGCGTTCTCCTCTATAGTATGCGTTTACGAGTTGCCTGCAAGCTAGCCTAACGTGCGTGTGCATTGTGCGCAGTCACCACGATCGAGTTCACGTTCATGCAGGGCGACCTGCCGCCTCTGAGCTTCGACGCCTCGGCGCTCACGCTCACGAGTTCCACCGCCAGTCTGGCTGTCGCGGAGCTGGTCAAGGGCACCAAGGCCAACATCGAGTGCTCCGCGCGCGGCGTCTGCGGTGCGTGCCCGAACTCTATTGCTGAGTATTGCTCATCGACTGTCTAACCGGTACAACCGCTGTCTCCAGACCGCACGACGGGCAACTGCGCGTGCTTCCCGTACTTCCTGAGCTCCGACGGAGCCGGCAACCTCGGAAGGCGCGGCGACTGCGGCTACATCTCGCCGTACCCGAGCGTGGCGCTGTCCTGAACAGCGGTCACAGCCAACCGGCCACTGCTGGACGAACGCAATGGGATCTGATAAAGCAGCGACTTGATGCTCGTCACTTGCAACTTCGACCAGGCCGGCGGCACTGTGTCTTTTCGGAGCCGTCCATACGCTTGGACATAGTCGAAGCAGACATTGTGTACGGAACACCACGCTCGACTTGATTAGCGCCCAGTATGGTTCGAAAAATACTGTTCCTCCTCTCTCCATTCGTTTGGCGCAGATGGTACTACCGACCACCACGCCTAAAAGTGCGCGCTGCAACCTCTCACAAACCATTATCCCTCTTTTAACCACACTATCTAAACGTACCTTCCCAAACCAATCCGACCGCACTTTTACGAGTATTAACCGCCTCGCTCTCTTTCGGTCGCCAACCCGCAAAGACAAGAACGGGGAAGGCAGGAGGCGGCGTCCGGCCGGCACCCACCGCTGCGCGCACACTGCTCTCACTCGCCCGACAGACGTCGCCACATGCGCCATGGCCTCCGTCGCGGCGCCTGACAAGCGCCGGCGCAAGAAGCCGCGGCCGCCGGCGGCGATGGCCCCGCCGCCGTTGCCGCTGCTGCCGCTCATGGACTCGGCGCGCAGCAGCGACTTCCCCACGGGCGGCTCGTCCGAGTCCTCCGTGGTGCCGGAGCTGCCCGCGCCCTTCGACCTGTCGGCCAACAGCAACGCCAGCACCGCCAGCGAGCTCACGAGCTCGAGCAGCACGGCCAGCGCCAGCAGCTCTAGCCGCAGCGTCAAGTGGTGGAAGCGCGTGACGTCCATGCGCCCCAAGAGGCGGCGCAGCGGCAGCCACGAGCGCGGCCCGAGCCTCGACCAGGAGCTGTACGTGCGCAGCATCCTCGAGTCCTACGCGTCGTCCATGAGCTCCAACAACCCGCAGCTCTCGACGGACGAGGGCAGCGTCAACACGACCACGAGCAGCAGCAGGAAGGGCGGAGGCGACCAGCGCGCGTCCAGGAGGCACAGCGAGCGCATGTCCAGGAAGCACCGCGCCAGCGAGCGCGCCTCGAAAAGGAGGCTAAGGGACAGCGAGCGAGCGTCCAGGAGGCGCAGAGACAACAGGAGCAGGGCCGCGGAGCAGCAGGACACGATTGCAGCGGCGATAGCTGCAGACACAGATACAGGTTCAGACAGGGCGGAGAGGAGAGACGACAGGGACTCGGACTCCCCCGCGTACATGGCGCACTTCACGCCCAATGGAGACACAGCGCAGGACGAACACCGCGTGGATATGGACAGCCACACCCACGTGCACTTGACGGCGGGGGTGCCCGGGCTGAGCAGCGGCTCCAGTCCGGGGCCTTATGACGACGCGGGTCTGGACGACGGGCCTTTCGCTCCGAGCTCAGTTAGCGACGAGGAAGACAGGAACAAGAGGCGACTGCGCCGCCGCATGAAGATCGAGGCCATGCGCGCTAGATTGTTAGAGAAGAATCAGCACCGAGCGAGGGCGCGCAAGAAGATGTGCATCTTCATCGCGTGTATCGGCGTCACGCTCACGGCGTTCGTGGTAGCGGCGATATTGATTGCCCGCGTGGGGGTGGAGATTCAGACCAACTCGCTGGAAAGCAGTACAAACACAACGGTGGCCAACAGCACCAGCAGCAGTGGCAGCACCAGCAGTGCCGGCAGTGGTAGTAGCAGCTACAAGATCATTTCGTCTGGCAGCATTGGATCGGAAGCGGATTTGAGCTTGGCAGGATCAAGTTCACTACTACGGGCTGGCTCAGCATCTGACGCTGACGCCGACTCTGAAGACAGTTCCCAAGGAGATTCATCGTGGTCTTCGTCGGGATCGGACAAAGGCATCAGCGTGTATACAGACACGTACACTTACATCCACTGCATCCTGATGGTGCTATCGTTGTGGATGTCACTCGTCGTGGTGATCATGCACGTGACGTTCCGAAGTTTCCGTACGTACTCACATCCGTTCGTGTTGGAGTTGAGTTGCGTGCAATGTGGGTATTGGATCACGTCCCTACTTCGCGTGATGCTGGAGACATCGGCCTTGACGGACATGGCCTACCTCTTCTTCTGTATGTTCGAGTGTTTCTTCAACTTCGCGCAGATCTCGTTCACGTGTGCCATCGCATTCAACATGTATCGGTCTGTGGTATCGTACGCAGATGTGCTGATGGATTCGCAAAGTGCTAAGCGCCGATATCGTCGGTACACTGCGAATGTGTTACTATTGTCGGTAGTGGCGGCGGTCACGTTGGCGCTGGTGGGCTATCGGTCTGGAGACACGTACGATTATTACGAGGAGGAAGACTCTTCATCCGGATCGGAGATTGTGGATGACGAGGACACGTTCTCACCGTGCCTTTATCCGACTTGCCGCCTCATCCTGTACGTGTACTACCCGTTGTTGGCGTTCGGCTTCAACTTCATCTTCTACGTGCGGTTTAAGCGCACCATTGGTGAATCGTACCCGACATCAGCTACCGGAAGGCTCAACAAGGTGGCGCGGTCGTACCTGATTGTGTTCTTTGTGTGCTGGGGAAGCCTCATTATTCTGACGGCACTCAAGGTGGCCGACTCCTCCCAGGTTCCAACAATCGCAGCGTTCGTGATGCAGTCGATATTCGACATTCTGGGCGTATGTACAGCCGCGATCACTTTCACAAATTTCCACCGGTGTCGGAAGGCATTCGACTTCGGGTTATCACTCAAAGCCATCGATCCCAGCAGTATCGAGTTCGACGATCCGGTGAACATCGTCGGTGAAGGTACCTTCGCTATCGTGCTGAAGGCAAGGTGGCGGCAGGGAGGATACATTGATGGCGCTGCATCGAGGTCGATCGAGGTTGCTGTCAAGACGTTCAAGCACGCTCAGATGGAGTGCCTGGAACACATCAAGGAGGAGGCATACCTGTCGTCGAAACTGGTGCACCCATGTGTGATGATGACCTACGGTTGCTACACCAGCGGCATCAATCTCTACATTGTGTACGAGTATCTCGGCGGTGGCACGTTGCAAGACCTGATCGACGCCAACCGCAGTACGCCATTTTCGTATGAACGGGGGCTGCGGTACGCTCACATGATTGCTGTGGGTATGCGCTTCCTGCACGGCCTGCCTGTGCCCATTGTGCACCGGGATCTCAAGCCGCTGAACTGCATCTTCGACTCCGAGCAAGAGATGCTGAAGGTGGCGGATTTCGGTGAATCTCGGCTGCTGCGCACTCGCGACGTAGTGGCCCCGCGGCCGAATTTCTTCCCGTCAGCTGACGTTACGGTGCAAATGACGACCAACATTGGCAGTGCGTGTTGGGCTGCGCCTGAAGTGCTGAAGGACGAAGCCACGTCGGAGTATTCTGTGAAGATCGATGTCTACAGCTTCGGCATCATTTGCTGGCAGCTGTACACTTGTGCTGTGCCGTATGCGAACATCCCTGGGAGTGTGCTCGCAGTCGCCGAGGCAGTTCTGAGTGGCGTTCGCCCGCGCATCCCGCGCGACTGCCCTCGATTGTTCGCTAAAATTATGAAGCGCTGCTGGCACGACAACCCGCTGCGCCGTCCGAGCTTCGAAGACATCGTGCAGCTCCTGGAAATTGAGCTGGCTGAGGTGCGACGCCGACAACTGGCAAGAGCCCACGGAAGGGGGAATGACTCGGTTATCGCACCGCCGGTTCTTGACAGTAGCAACTTCGATGACACCGGACGAACACAGGGGACAGACGAAAGCATAGTGGGCGGCGGCAGAGCGCGTTAATAGAGAGGTGTTCACACCTCTCCGATAGTTTAGGATAGCAGTAGTGTCTGTCAGGAGAATAGTGTAAATGAACTCGTTTCAACCTTCCGCTAGCGTGTCTGGCAAGGTTTTGCAAGCGCTGCAGTAAAGATGAAGGCGTAGTTGATCAAAACTTCCTGTGTTAGACTGACTTATCGAGACACACTTGAATCCTGTGTCACAGCGACTTCTGCCGCTACGCTTAAATGATGCCGAGCACGCGCAGGCGGCTCTCGTACTCCGTTTGGCCGATGTAGCAGCCGATGAGCGCGCGGTCTCCGCCCCGGAAGGCGTGGCGACCGTGCATCACGCGCTGGTTGTCCACGACCACCATGTCGCCCACCTGGAGCTTCATGCAGAACTCCATCTCAGGCCGACGCATGACTTCCAGTAGCTTGCGGTGCGCCTTGTAGAACGCGCCCACCTCTTCGAAGCTCAGGTGCGTGAGTGGTGCGCGGTCGTAGTCGTTGTGGCGGAACTGTACGATGTTGCCAGCGTAGTCCACGCGGATGAGCGGCTCCATCGTGGCCAGGTGCGCGTCGTTGTCCACAGTGAAGTAGGGCAGCGACGTCGTGCTCAGCACTCGAAAAGCCTCCGGGTCCTCGCTCCTCAGGGTCTCAGCGACGTGGAACGAGTCCACATAGCGGCTCTCGCCACCCTCGCCAGCCTGCGCGGCGCAGTTGAAGATCTGCAGCCCAGGCGGGTCGCGCATGTACGTGCCGTCAGTGTGGTGCAGCAGCTCCAGGTTCGTGGACGCAGTGTCGTTGTATCCCTCGGCGTCGTTGGTGGGGTTCGTCGTCCACATGGTCCCGTAGATCGTGCGAAGCACGAAGCCGATCTTCTTGGAGAACTTCTCGGTAGCCTCCATCGTGTTGGGCGTGCCCGACACGCGCACCAGGCCGTAGGCGTACAGGTCGCGCATGAGCGGCTCGATGTCGTCCACGCACTTGCTGTAGTCGTGCGTGGGCAGCTTGAAGTCGGCTCCGGCCCAGAGCTGCTTCGTGGTCACGCGCGGCTGCCGGTACGACTTGGGGTACGGCGCCGTGGCCGAGTCGTCGGCGTTGCCGCCTTCCAGCGCGTACGCGTGGTCGCGCAGCCACTGCGCGTCGAACTCGCTGGCCGTGCACGGGGTGCCGCGCACAGGCGCGTTCCAGTCAATGGCCACAGCCCCGCCGGCGTGTGTGACCTCGAGGCGCTGCAACGGCGCATCCATGGGGATGGAGGCCGTGTCCAGCTGGCGCTGCTGCGTCTCCGGGTGCATGCAGTGCTCGCAGCGGCAGTGGTCGCGCAGCCAGAGCTTGTGGAACTTGGCGGTGGCGCCGTCCTCGAACGTGACGCGCACGGCCTGCTCGCTGACGAGCTCCGCCACCTTGGTGATGCGCTCGCCCTCCAGGTGCCTCTCGACCAGCGCGGACGCGAAGGTGCGCGCGCCCCAGGGCCTCAGCGCGCTCGCGGGGGCGGCGGCACGGGACAGCAGCGGCCGGATCACTTGAAGACGCATGTGTGCGTTGACTTGACTCTGGACCTTCTCGGCGAACTCGGGACTGATGAGTGCAGAGCGCCGACGCCGCACGCGCAATGAGCTTGAAGCTGCGAGAGACACAGATACGCAGGAAGAGGCCGGTGCACCTTGGTCTTGCTGCCAGCAAGTTGCTGGGGCGGGGATCGGCCGGGTGACGCCGCGGTTGACACGCAAGCGGATAAGTGTCGCCCATGCGGATTGGCTCGAGACCTGCCGCTCTGATAACGGCTGACGTGGCATCCAACGGCTGCAACTTCAGCTTCAATCGGCCAGCGTCTCCCAAAGATAGCGACCTTGTTCCACATGGATGCCGGGCCCTCAAAAGTTGGCGCATTCGGTTCCGGCGCGCGGAAGCCAAATGGTACGAGTTTGTTTGTTTGTTTCGAGTTCCATGCATGCAGAACGGGGTGGCCGACGTGAATGGTACGGCATTGGCCTGTGCTGCGGAAAACAATAACGTTGGTGGTGATAAAGGTGCTGCTGGAACGAGGAGCAAAGTTTAAGCGGCAGCTCTCGTGGACACCGGAAAATGAAAGCAAAGATGATGACGGTGCCATCCTCGCATAAAGGTCCTAGAGCACAGACACAGCAAGAAAAGGAAGGGAAGAAACAGGACTTTTGACAAACCAAGGTAAGAGCAAGCTCTCACACCAACCAGAATGTTATTTTACGCAGCTTTCGTTTCGAAGTGTTTTTGTCACAAGAGATGACAGCAGATCACCTTACTTGGAGCACCTCGGATCGCTGTCGACGCCGAAGTCCTTGCAAACCTCCCGTCCAAGTGCGTTGATGCCATCGACGACCCAAAGCCTGTAATCGGCGAATACAAAAATCTTACCCGGAGCGAATGCAAAGTTACTCGACGCCTCTCCAATGTGGATCTTGCCCAGCAGAACCCCTTCAGGGTTCCAGACGCGGACGCCGTCGCCGCAGCCAGCCCAGACGGTCGGTGTCCGTGTGCACCCCATCAGGGATGCCGCTGTCTGCGAAGGCAAACAGGCGCTTGCTTCCAAGCCGCTTGTTGTCGATAATGACGTAGGCGTAGATGGTGGCTGGGCGACTGAGGTCCAGGTCCGTTTCCCGAGCGCCCGTGTCGGACACGTAGAGCGTCTTGTAGTCTGGGGAAAACTCGAGGCCGTTCGACTCTCGGAAGCCGTCCGCAACAACTTGGATAACACCCGTTGAGGGTTCGAAGCGGTAAACTTGGCGGGGGAGCTGCGGCTCCGCGCGGAAGTTCTGGATGTGGCCGTACTCGGGGTCCGTGACCCGTCACTGGGTGCTGCCGCACGTCGTTTACGCTTGTGAAGTTGCGCCCATTGTAGCCGATGGTCAGCGGTTCAGACGTGTTCGTGTTCACGTCCACGGCGAGAAGCTGGGCGTAGGATTCGAGGTCGCCCTGGTCACACCAAACCTGCTGAGGTGGAGTGGCGTATTGGTCAGCACCGGGAGGGTAGTACGACGACCCACCGTTGGCCATCGTAAGGCCCGCGAATTGAGTGCTGTTGACGGAGTAGTCGTTGAGCGAGCCGTGATGTTGATGGTGTCCGCGAGCGAAGCGTAGTTGGAAGAGATGTAGTGTGTTGTCCTTTGTGTTGTAGACGCCGCCCTCGTGGAATGCCCGCCAGTCTAAATTGGCGATCAACTGGGCAGTCGTGTTGGTACCGATTACCCCGGCAAAAGACGAGTCGTACGACAGCAGCGAGAGCGCGGGGTTGATCGCGTTTCCGACGTAGATAGAGGCGAGGTAGTCGGCGCCACCGGTGGCCAGGGGTGTTGATGAGCGACATGCTTTTAGCTGTCAGTCTTGATCAAGGGTGACTTAGTGAGAAGCAGGAAAATTGCCGACTGACGTTCATCGCACTTGGTTTGGATTTGGTTTCACAGCGGCTGTACCGCTGCGAATGAGCACCGCACTAATTGCGAAGCAGCTTTCCGACCAGCCGTCACATCCAGCCAGAGGAAATTTGCACCTGGCAGCTTTAGTTGAAGGCCTTGCTTGCGCGAGGGCTCGGATACGGTGCGTTTGAAACGAAGGTGCCACTTGGAATCGTATATCCAGGCCTCCCTAATTGGGGGAAATGGTCCCCATTTCCCCCACTATACCTGTTAAGACCCGTTCCCATCCCCCACAAAAATACTATGGTTTTGAGGTGAATTCATGTTGGCAAGCTATTTTCAGATAATTATGTGGCTTGATAAGCATCGAGCTCACTCAGACCCCAAACAAACAGGAACATACCCAGGTGGAAGCGTGTTTCTCCGGTAATGGATCGACCCCCAAACCATCCCCACTCATCACAAATATTGTCAAATTTCCGTAATTGGTGGTATTGGCAAGTAGCGTTTAAGCTCAAACGGACGGCGAGCTGACCGCGAACTGGAAGAGGCCGTTGGTCTGTAGGCGATGCTACAGAAGAATGCAAGTTTAGGAGCAGTTTTATCATAGGCTATGTTAATAAATTACATACTTAATTTAAGTAAAGCGGCGCCAATATAAATACGTAAGCCCGCAAAGATACAGAGCTAGTCAAAACTTTTATCACGATTAGTGATATATAATTCTTTCGCTGGCATTCGTTTCTAGCTAATTCGTATGCGGATGAACCGTAACACTTTGAATATCGTAGGTTGAATCCAAATTAGCACCGACTATGCCAATCCCTAAGATATTTATCTTACTTTCACTATCGTCCCCCACCATACCCATTTGCAATACTTTTCATCTGGCATCACTTGCCGGAGTCCATCCGTCGGCGAAATGTGAAGTTGGGGAGAACCTAAGTCAATAGCCTCGCGAATCTATCGGAAATTAGGCTCCAAACCTTCATGGTCCAGACAGCGTTAATTAAGGGGCGCCACCAAGTCACCCTCGCCTGTCTGGAGGTCGAGGCAGGTGGAAAACGACGCGGGCCCTACCATTTTACACTGCTGCAATGAAGAAGGCTACTGTCGAGCACCTGAGACTACACTGCAATGTTTGTTTCACTGTAGATACGTTCTTTCCGGGTCTACTTAAGATGGGCTCTTCGTTTAGCTCTATAGCTGCTGGGGGTGCTTCTGTCGGCGGCAGGAACAAACGCAAAGCTTGCTCTACTGAGCTTCAATCTCAGGTTGGGGTGGTAAGCTAATAAGTTGGGCTGTGTCGGCAGCCGCATTGGTGAGACTCGGCCTTGAGAGACTTGAGGTAGAGTGCTCAGTTTAGTAATTTTGATAAATACATCTGGGCGTCCGGTGCCGATTCGTTTTTTGAGCAAAATCGGGCGTTTGGTATTTTAGCTCCGGTAGGGTGTACCCCTCTCCAAAAAAAATCGGTATTATTCCACCGACATCTAATGGTGGCATCTCGGGTCGCTGTCGGCGCCGAAGTCCTTGCAAATCTCGCGCCCGAGGGCGTTGATGCCCTCAACTACCCAGAGCCTGTAGTTGGCAAACACAAAGACCTTGCCCGGAGCGAACGCAAAGTTGTTTGACGTCTCGCCCAGGTAAATCTTGCCCAGGAACACTCCCTCGGGGTTCCAGATGTGCACACCGTCGCCACAGCCAGCCCAGACGTTGCCGTCGGTGTCCGTGTGCACCCCGTCGGGAATGCCGCTGTCCGCGAAGGCGAACATGCGCTTGCTTCCGAGCCGCTTGTTGTCGATGATGTCGTAGGCGTAGATGGTGGCCGGACGACTGTGGTCCAGGTCGGACTCCTGGGCGCCAGTGTCCGAGACGTAGAGCGTCTTGTAGTCCGGCGAGAACTCAATGCCGTTGAGCTGCACGAAGCCATCGCCGAGAACCTGGAGGACACCCGTCGAGGGCTCGAAACGGTAGATGTGTCGCGGGAGCTCGGGCTCCGCGCGGAAGTTCTGGATATAGCCGTACTCGGGATCCGTAAACCAGAGGTCCCCCGTCACGGGGTGCTGTCTGACATCGTTCAAGCCGCTGAAGTTGCGGCCGTTCATGCCAATGACCAGCGGCTCGGACTCGTTCGTGTTGACGTTGACGGCAAGGAGCTTGGCGTAGACCTCGAGGTCGCCTTGGTCGCACCACACCTGCATGGGGGGCGTGGAGTTCTGATCGGCGCCAGGCGGGTAGTACGACGAGCCATGGCGAGGTCCGGGAACTGAGTGCTGCGGATGGAGAAGTCGTCGAGCGAGACGACGGTCATGTTGATGTTGTCCTTGAGCGAGATGTAGTTGGACGAGACGTAGAGGGAGTTGTCCTCCTTGTTGTAGACGCCACCCTCGTGGAAGGCCTGCCAGTCCAGGTCGGCGACCAAGCGGGCAGTGGCGTTGTGGCCGATGACGTCCGCGAAGGCCGAGTCGTATGACAGCAGCGAGAGCGCGGGATTGGTGGCGTTTCCGACGTAGATGGAGGCGAGGTAGTCGGCGCCACCGGTGGCAAGGGCGTGAAGGTCGACGTCGATGAGCGACATGCTTTTGGAGCCTTGCGAGGGAGTCTTGGGAAGCAGGAAAGTTGAAGACTGAAGGAAAGGGAATTCGAGCTCGGAAGCCCAATGTTGAGCGCCTGAGACTCAACTGGGCTGTTCCATTCAAACAACTGCACACCGGATATCCCGCCAGCACAGCCAATGCAACTGCTTGCACCGGGCGAGCCAGTAAGAGATCTTGAGATGTGCTTAGAGCTGCAGCTGGTGAATTGACGTTCAACACTCCAAAATCGGTGAAGGAACTCCTTCATTTGCGAAAAGGACGAGAAGGAGGCAAGCGGACGTCGGCAGGTGCGAGGCCGTCGAAATGCAAGCCCCTGCTATGTGCTAAGATCATGGTATCATTTGCGTGTTAGCTGGGGGGGAGTTGTGCGCACAGGGCCAACACAAGCACGCGGTATTTGCGGAGGGGGGCCCTGCACCGAGCTTTCCAGCGCCTCGTGCAGTACTCGGCTCGCTAGACTGCTTGGCGCGGGGGCGTCCAGCCAAGCGCAGCCCGGCAGGCAACATGTTGTGGTAACAAGTAGTTGGCACTAAACATTAAAGTAGATCCAGCGTGTGTTGCTTAGCGCCTCGAAGCACTTTTGTCAGTACTGTAGCTACTTCAGACTACACGCAATGGTACAGTAACATACAGAATACAGCATTTAGTGCAGCTCAGCAGCTTGCTCTCGAACCGAAGTGATATGTAGTGTTACTGTGAGGACACTTAGACCCAAGGACTTGGCGATCAATTCCTCCAACTCGGTGGCCAAATTGACCAGACTTGGCCACTTGGCCCATGCTCGTGCTGGTGCTCGCTCGGTTGGTCAGCAACTTGCTGCCAACTTGGTTGGAACGTCCAACCAACATGAGTGTCAGCCTATTCTTTTACCGTGCACCGGGCCAGTCGGTGTGGCCCGGTGCACCACGCTGCACCGACTGGAGCTGACCCGGTGCAAGTATCCTCTGTCCAGAAGCATGGCATTCTGTAGTTGAAGCAACAAAGCAACGAGGATTACCACGTTTGATCACTAAGTCAAATTTCACTGACTTCAACACCGAAGTAGTTCGTTGCCTGGACCCTTCCCAACTAGCAACACACACTAAAGCGCTACACCTGTATTCATGCATGAGGTGGATGTAGTTTACCACATGGTTTCTCCATGGGTGGAAGAAGTTCTACAGTTGAATACTTCAATTAGCTGCTGCTTAGATTGATCGATACCAAAGCCATGCCTTTGCCAATCCAGTCAACAGGAAAGCAGCGATTACAAGCCGTTTCGCTAATTGAAGCATACAAAGGCAAAGTTGCATCTACAACTATGTGTGTGGGTATCCAAAACCTCGCTATACTGGGAACCGCATCGACTGCAATTGCATTTATCCAAATCGCTTATAATAGTTTGCAAACGTTCACGTTACTACCTCTCGCCCTTATCATTAGCAGCGCCAGCCATGCCAGGTTTCGGCTCGTTTGCCCATCGGTCATACAATGAACACCAAAGCGGCATCTCCGGCTTGGCCGGAATTCGTCTCGGCTCGTTCTTTTCGCTACTACCTCATTCGAGTCGTCGCCTTCACTCAGGCCGGCTAGTGTTCGGGCTGATCATGACTGCTTGGGCGCCGTAGTCTCCTTCAACAGCATCAGTATTAATCTGGTTAGCTCATGTAGACTACGATACAACATCAGTATAATAAACTGCATGCAATGCAGTATACAGGACAACATGATATACAACATACCATTGTTCGGAGCACGCCATACCGCATCAACTCCTGTCGTCGTCTTTGCCGCTTACATCAACGCGGAAAGATGTCGGAAGCCTTGAGCGCCGGAATCCTGAGTGGGCCTCTCCCCCAGGCCTCCGAACGCCAGGTACGAATGCAGCGGGTTGAGCAGTGCAACCGAGCCCAACAGCTTGACTGAGTACGACAGCTTGTACAGCTGCAGCAGCAGACGCTTGCCTGTAAGCAGCAAAATCAACTGGACCAAGAGTAATCCAAAGTCTTGTCACCAAGCATGAATCTCGCAGACATCTCTGACCAATGACCACACTTACCAAGCGCTAGAGAAGCACCACACGCAGGGGAGTGCTATCATGAAGAACAACACGTACCAAATAAAACAGGTTAGCAATAAGGTATCGCATTCGTTCGCTACGAGCGTACCGTTAGCGCCGTACTCGAGCGCCGATGTCTCGCATGATCATCCGTGATTTCTGTTTATTCTTCTGCCGACTTGAGCCCTGGCCGCGCAAATTCTCGAATGAGGCGGATTTTGCAAGAGCGGCAAATGGAAGTCGCTGTGAGCCACCCAGTCCGACACCTTGCAGATTTTGTTCAAATCATACAGTGGGTCCCGCGCCCGTCCCAAATATTATATTCCTAATTTTGACAAACGCTGGTCTTTGACATCTGGAAAAACAAAAAGGCGCGAACAGAAACTAAACGTAATTTTATCTTGACGTTTGCATATTGGTGTGTAGAAAGGACAGTCATACAAATTTCAAGTCAAAATTGGCTTAAACTGCATATATGCAGTTTAAGCCTTCAAATCTAAGCTGCATTATGCAGCATCCGGTTTGGAGGGGTTAATACGCAGTATCCGCGACCAATCGTCCATGTTATGCGGAACATATGCTGCTCTTCAATCACGAGTCGTGATTTTTTTCGTACTTTACGACGGCGCGCCGACCAGCTTGCGGAGCCCATACTGAGCGCCGGTCAGTCGGCCCGGTGGTCGGTCGGCCATCGTGGGCACTGAGACCAAGTCAACGTTTCAAGTAACATTTCCGGTGCGAGATGAATTTACACATTCCTGTAAAGGGAACTTCAGCTCGTTGCAGCCGCCTTCCGCAAAGAGGTTACAGTACGTGTGGAACGTCATTCGCCCACAGTGTCGCCGCCATTCTTAGGACTGCGCTCAGGTGCAGACATCCCAGCTTCGATCTTCAGACTTTCCACGTCAACAAATATTTGTCCGTGACTGTTATCACGTCGACTAGTCCCAATCCCAAGCCTTATCCTTGCGAATAGATCTGTGTTGGCAAGATTCTCCGTCTCTCCTGTACTGTAAGGATTCCTTGGCAAGGACTGATTGCATTCATACAAGAAGTGGTGGCGATCATGACTGAATTCATTCTCTCTACAGCGCCACACGAAGCACTGTGCCTTAATTGCGCCTTGCGGGTCTGCAAGACGCTCCTCGACTGTTGCTCTTTGCAAGAAAACACAACGAGGCAACAAGAACTAGTTTAAGCCATTGCCACGGCGTGCCAAAAGGATGCAATGTGACTTGCGGCGTCTATAGTACTTGCCACTTGCTACAGGTAGCGGTAGAACTCGTCAACACCCCTTGGTAATATAATAGCATTTTTTATTGTAATAGCTGCATGCACATGGTAACCTGCCATATTGCGCATTGTTTCACTGTGCGACCGTGTTGCCGGCGGAGACGCCACGAACAGGTTTCTTGCGCGGTAACTAATACTATAGTAATATATGAGATCAGGGTGTGATCAGAGATACTATAATAACACTTCGGTTGATATCTTATAGAAATTATCATTTCAAATGGGAACAGAAAGCGCAAGTGTAGTCTAGATTTGCAACGATTATTGTGCCTTTCCAAAACTTTGGCCAATCTGACCTCAAAAAGGTGGTCTTAAGTAGGAGAGGGTAGGGCTAGACCTAGGATTTGCTGTTGGTCTTGCATCGGATTACGGAAGTCCTACGTAGGAGTTCCGTCTTCATCTAAAGGGTACCTTTTTAGAAATAAGGAACGAATGGCCATGTTAAGCTGGCCATTTGGGCCTTCGTAGGACTAGATCAGGCCAGTGCGCCTGAAAGCATCTGTGGCAAATGCATAGTTTGGCCGCACTCATACAGGCGGAGGCTCAGGCAGCACCGCAACCAGGTCACCGTGCTCAGCGTGGAGCTACGTACGTGCGCTACAGGTATAGCGGTACTGAACGCGCTCACTTGTCGACCTACCTTTGCAAGCCATTCGCTCAGTTTACATTAAGTTTTTGTTTATGCATGGTCTTACTGGCCCTGGTACAAACTTTTATGATGTCTTACGTAGGTGCAAAAGTCCTACGTAGGACCTCAAATCGGAGGGCGTTTTGCCAGAAAGGCACAATACATGTAGTATTTTCATAGTTACCGATGGTTATACAATCTTACCGAAAGTGCATGCGCGGGGTCCGTGAGCGAGTACCGCTCGTCCAAGAACATGTACGACGTGTGCGAGTACGGTGGCGTCAACTACTGGTCCGAATTCGACATGACACTACCTGTCGCAGTTCGGCGCGCCGTCGAGCAAGACGTGGCTGTGGATGGCGCCATCTTCCTGCTCTTCTATTAATACGTGTTCCTGCTCGGCGCCAGCATACCTGCTCGAGTACCGTCGGTACCTGGCGCCGACCAACATCCAGCTGCTGCCCCAGGAGATCGAGGACGAGACGGAGGATGGCTACGCGCTGTCCAGGACGCCCAAGTCCAAGCACAACGAGGAGTCGAGCTCGGACACGTCCCATGACGAGGTGATGGTGGCCGTGCCGCGCCGCGAGAAGAACTTCATGCCCGCGTCTATGACGTTCACGGACTTCGGTACAAACGTTCACGAATTGTTGCTGTTCTATGTATACCGATTTTTACTGGGGTAGCAGTGGCCGATAGGTCATGCTGCTTGGCAGCCCAAATCGGGTTAATTCGGATCTCGGTAACTGAGGCCGGTAAAGTGAGGCCGGTAAGCTGAAGCCGAGTCGCTGTTTGTCTCTCAGTGATCCGCCGCCCGAGTCACTCACTTTCTGTCTACTGGTAGGCTTCTATAGGTCAGTTAATTAAGCTCAAATAGAAGGCCACTTAAACCACAAAAAACACTTCCTGTCTACTGGTAGGTGGATGCATGACCACATCCATCGTAGAACAGAACTTCAGCTATTGAGCCATTTCCCATTCTACCACTAAACCAAGTAACCAGCCCACGTACCTACCTACCTACCCATCCGCCTGCGCCCAGCTTGCACGCGAGCTACAACGATTGCCAGAATACAACCACCATGGCCCCTGAACTAACATGGCCATGGCTCTAGGGTCCGCGAAGGCTATGATTTAGTTGTTGTTTTGTTGTTTTTTGTAGTTTTGTAGGAGGCGTTTTATCATTACCCATGGGCATCCCATGGCATCTCCTGCCTAGTAAGACGATCTGAAAAGTAGATATAGCAAGGTTGGAAGAGGTGACAAGAAAGAAAAAGTAAACCCAAACGAACCTTAGTATTTGTAGCTTGACTACATGTACCCATGCCTATAGTGTATAATGGCGTCGATAATAACAACATTTAATGTTGTAGCTACAAGATCGAAAGGGTGATAGTATAGCCCTCAATGCATGAGGCCAAACTTTTACAGAGACATTGAGCAGACTCAGTTTTTTTAGACTGACTAAAGGCACTGAGTGGGATCGTATTTTAAAAAAGGAGTGATACAGTACGAGTCCGGTAAATGGGTAGATAGATTGCGCTAGGCTGCACGGGCGTGGTGAAGCGTTGAGACCAGGGATACCAAGAACATCGAGGGTTGACGCGGTGGTGCTTCCTCGAGATGTATACGTGGGCGCAGAGCCTTATTTAAGCTGTTCAGGGTGACGCTCGTATCGTATAATACACACGTCTACGTTCCTGATAGTCTGTGTACCTGTAGATACCGACAGGGTACCTATTGGTGTGTGTGTCTGTAGATACCGTACGGGTACCTTTAGGTACTATGCATACTCGATTGATGTATCTACAGGCACTTTAAGAATGGTATGCGTACTCGCCTTTTAAGGGTCGATTTGACCGTGTGTGAGGCAGTTGGATGCCTGGCCAACTGAGCGAAGATCGTAACTGAGCGCTTCGGTGCGTCGTTAAATAGAAGTTGGCAATACGCTAATTTTTCGTTGTCATGGCAATGCTGCAAGTCTAGGCTCTCTCCATTAGTGTAACGTGCAGGTTGTAGAGTAGCACGGTATTGTCAGGTTTATAACGTGGTTTAGTAGGTACGTCAATGTTGCTAGCGCAACTCTACACCCGATTGGCGCGACCTAGTCCTCAACAACTCCCGTACTAGCAGGCGACAAGGTGGCCATACTGTTTTCTTGGTACGAGATTCGCCAAGTGCTTTTTACATTCGAACGACCGTTGCCACCACTTCCTATTTCCTGCAACATTCGTGTAACATAGAGCTCTTGAAGCATTCAGAGCCACACAACAAAATCTCTACATTTGGTGAAAATTATTAAAATCTACTTGAATAGAATACCCCTCTTTTTTAACCTCGGTACCAATATTACCTGACTCAGTGCCATTTGGTACCTAGAGACAGACGAGTGCCTGCAGGTTCTGTACCCATGTACCTCCCCACTCAGTGCCTTTATCAACGATCCATTTTTTTTAGAAACCTTAAATTTCAAAGCTTGTTTGGTACGTTTACATTACTGGCCCGGTCGAACACTGGTCAGCCTAACGCTTTGGTCGCCACGACTGCTACGTACGGCAATATTGCAGCTGGAAGGGTGTATGAGGCGGCATCTTAGCGACTAGACATCTACGCTTAGGCTGGGATAGCAATTTTACGGGGGCAAACAGAGCTTTCAGCACAGCAGTAGTATTACGACTATCAAGGCGTGCAAGCGCAACCTCGAAACTAAACTAAGCTTATCCACCGCCTCTCTTGCCTAGCAAGTGAGAAGAAGAGCTATCAGCTTCATGGGCGATACCTTTATGAAAAGCATTATAAGTTCGCAGTATTCTAAATCATGTTGCGTTTTGTTTACTTTCGCACGGACTGAAATAATCTGTAGGCCACAGCCCTAGTTTGGTAATGTTTCTTTGTTTGTAGCTGGAGTAAGCTTTCCTGAGTCTGGAATTTATACTGGGAAAATCCGAAGAATGCTACAGTAGCCTAGCGACAGCATAGCGTGGCAACGCGAACACGTAATGCATTACATTACCCAAAGAATGAAGGAGTGGACAGCCCTGCAACGCGTAACTCGGCTTGGCTCAACCTTCGTGCTACACCAGCCAGAAGTATGTCGAGCCAGCAGCTTCGACAACAACTTTCAGTTGTCGGCAGCAACTTGGACATTATTACACGGTGGAGTGGATCACATCTGCATCCATAGTTTCAGAAAGTGAATTGCGGCACGCAATTCACCCTTGCCAGTACTGACGCAAATTCAGCACTTTGCATCTGTGATCCCAGTCATGTCGAAGGTCGTGACGTCTTACACATGTACAGGAGTGTAAGAAAATCGACTGCTTGTTTGTCGATGCCCCCCCTCCTCCCCTCAAATTAAGTATACTCGCTTCCTCAATCGCTCCTGACTGAGGGCAACTTGTGGGTCTTCACAGTTTCGATCCACTTGTCGCTACTCCTTGTCCGACGTTGGCGCATAATCCACGGTCCGGCGAGGAAAGTGCCACAGACCAAGTGGATACACTACCATCAAATCGAAGTTTCGTGTACACACCATCGCTAGTATTTACTGGACCAGGGATTCTCTTCCAGCTAGCATCAACCTGGGAGACCAAGCCACACTTCACCAGCGAGCCGAAGCAGAGAATCGCGAGTGATGCATGCCGAGGTTGCCGGCCGAACAAGAGTTGTCAGTGAAGCCGCTCGTCGATCTCTCTCCCCCTTCTTTCAGAAAGACTAAAGTTTTTCTCTGGTATCACCTCCCTCCTCTGGAACCCTCTACACAGTATGCTTACGGACGCAGGCCAAGTACACGCCATCTTATCTGACCGCAAAAAAAAATCATGGGTTCCGCACCCATATACAATATTCAGGGTTGCATACGAGAAATGGAACACCTCGCTAGCGATATGCTCGATCTTCTCCCTCGCTAATAGAAGCAGCCTTAACTTGAATGCATCGTCATTTTTTTATCAGGAGAGCCTGGCCCGGTTGAATGAGGGTCTGTATTCTCAACTTATTCCTGACCCGACCGAATGAGGATCTACCCACATGGCGCACTTCAGCTCCCCTAAGGATACGTATCTTGTCTAAAACCTTCCTATTTGAATACGACGTATTCGAAAGCAGAGGTTTTGACAAGATGCGTACAGGTACCGTAGTACGATTGTGACTCATGTCGACACGTCGAGCATTGCGCGAAAGCTCACTTCGCAAGTTCACCGCTAAACCTCAGAGCCCAACCCCAAGATACTCGAGTGAAGTCGAGCCGCGCCGCAATGAAGCTCTCAAGTCTCCTGCAGGCGGCGACGCTGCTGTCCGCGCTCGCAGCGATCCCCACCACCAACGCCACCGCCGACGAGGCCGTAGACGCGCAGTGGCTCTGGGAGAACGAGGCCGAGGCGTTCGTGCGCACGACGCGCAACCACGCCAACTTCTTCGAGAACTTCCGGCCGAACGACGCCAACCAGACGTGCTCGAGCGACAAGCACGCCACGCCCTTCAACCGGCAGGTGCGCGGCGCCAACCTCGGCGGCTGGCTCGTGCTGGAGCCGTGGATCACGCCGTCGCTCTTCTACCAGTTCCTCAGCACGCAGCAGCGCTACGGCGACCAGGCGCCCGAGAAGACGGCCATGGACACGTACACGTTCTGCACGGCTCTGGGCGCCGAGGAGGCCAACCGCCAGCTGCGCATCCACTGGGCCACGTGGGTCACCGAGGCCGACATCAAGGAGCTGGCCGAGGCCGGCGTCAACTCGCTGCGCGTGCCCGTGGGCGACTGGATGTTCAACCCGTACGAGCCGTACATCGGCTGCACGGACGGCGCCGTCAAGGAGCTGGACCGCGTGGCCGACCTGGCCGCCCAGTACAACATCGAGCTGCTGCTGGACATCCACGGGCTCATCGGCTCGCAGAACGGGTTCGACAACAGCGGCATGTCCGCAGGCGTCAAGTGGACGTCCATCGGCAGCACGCAGCCCATCGGCACCACGACGTTCGAGCACTGGCCGCTGCGCTCCGCCGGCTGGGCGGGCGAGTTCCACCTCAACAACAACTCGTACAGCTCCATCAACTACGAGCACCTGAACCACTCGCTGCACACGGTGGCGGCGCTTGTGGACCGCTACGCCGAGCACCCGGCCATCATCGGCCTGGAGCCCGTGAACGAGCCCTGGGAGCTCACGCCCATCGACCTGCTCAAGGACTACTACTGGCGCTCGTACAAGCGCGTCAAGGCCCGCGCCCCGCACTGGAAGTTCGTGCTGCACGACTCGTTCCGCTTCGGCGTGCAGTACTGGTCCGAGTTCATGCGCGGCTGCCCGGACATCGCGCTCGACACGCACATCTACCAGGCGTGGAACAACCCGGGCACGAAGGCCGACTTCTTCGCCAACGCCTGCCAGCAGAAGTACACGATCGCCGACATGGAGAACGCCATGATGCCCGTGATCGTGGGCGAGTGGTCGCTCGGCACCGACAACTGCGCCATGTGGCTCAATGGCTTCAACGACAACCTGCCGGGCTTCCCCAAGGTGCAGTGCCGCATGACGCCGTGCCCCGTGCACAGCACGTACCTCGGTCTGGGCTTCCCTGGCACGCCGCTGGACGTCACCAAGCCAATCCAGGGCCCCTACGGCACCGGCCAGTCTGGCCCGTCGTTCGGCAAGTGCCCCATCACGAGCAACACGACCTTCGGCCAGCAGAACGAAGCGGACGAGCGCGAGTTCGCTCGTAACCTGAACCTCAAGAAGCTCAACGCCTTCGCGGTGGGCCACGGCTGGTACTTCTGGAACTTCAAGACGGAGTTCGGCTCGCGCTGGAACTTCCTCGACCTCGTGCGCAAGGGCGCCTTCCCCAAGAACGTGTCGAGCTACCACCGCGACGAGGAGGTGTTCACGGCCTGTTTGGCAGAAGACAAGGGCTCCTTCAGGTGCGCGGCGAAGCGCGGCGTGAAGCCCGCCGACCTCATCAGCGGCCTTGAGTTCGCATGCGGCAACCCGGACAAGAAGGTCGACTGCACGGACCTCGAGAACCGCTTCGACACGCTCGAGGAGCGCTGCGACTGGGCCTTCAACAAGTACTGGCACACGCACCGCGAGGAGGGAGCCACGTGCGATTTCGGCGGTGCCGCGCACCTGCTCGCAGGCCCCAGTCCGTCGAGTGTGGAGCGCCAAAAGGCTCTCGTCACTCCGGTTGGCAACCAGATCCTGCTTTGGTGCCTTGGCGTCGCTGGAGCATTTGCCGGTGCCTTCGTGCTCGCTACGCTGTACGCGCGCTACCAGAGACAAGGAGACTACGCGCCGATTGAGAACAATGCCAATGTGAATGCCTAGAGCGGCTAGAGTCGTGGAGAGCCACCAGGAACTGCTGTCATCAGTTGACCTTGGTAGACGGGTAGAGATGTCAATAAAAAAGACCAGCGTCTTTCATTTTTCATGCGCACCGCCGTCTAGTGTGGAATCTGTTGCTGCTGCTGTTGGAAGAGTTCCACGACTTGCTCGCTCCCCGTTGCTTGGAGAGGCTTCTTATCGGGTCGATACCGGACAAAGCGAGGGAATCGAAGTGCGAGTCCCTTTCGAGGAGTGGCAGCAGCATCGTCGATAGCACCGCACATGTAAGACGGAGACTCAGTCAGTTGAGTGGCTTTGATCTCCCACACTTCCTCCGGCGAGAGCCACACATCGGGATGGCGACTACGAATCGCACTCGATTGATACTGCTCGGGCACTCCGTTTGTCTCGGGCAGAACGTGCATTTGAAGACGCCCGCCCGCTTCCGTCATCTGTGCGTCCGAGAAACCTGTGCCAACCTTCCCAATTGTCTGCATACCGCAACGATACCAGTAAGTGCAATGATCTCGTACTATTCGCTCAGCTTCAGACAATTCTTACCTCGAATTTGCCACTTGTGGAGTTGTAAGCTGCCATCAAGAAGGATCCAAACACCCCAGCACGCCGTCCTTTGCCGTGGAAAGCGCCGATGGGGACCAAGTCCAATGTGTCCGCCAGGAAGGTGCCGTTCCCAGTGTTTGCTGCTGACTTCTTCTTCGATGATGTGCTCGTCGCGACTTCGTCCGACAGATAGTCGTGCTTGAGCTTCATCCAGGAGTACGAACGCCGACCAGCCTTGTACTCGGACTCTTCATCATCCAGAGCCTTGATCATCAATCCCTCGCAACCACTAGCCACTGCTTGCTCTAGATAGTCGCGCACGACCGTCGCCTGCTCCTGTTCTTCAGCGCCATCCTCGGCGCTGATATCGATGTGTTTCACGAACTCAACGTAGCCGGCCTTTTCTTCGAGGAGATCATGGAGCAAGGCTCGTCGCTTTCGAAGTGGATTCTGGACACACAATCACGTTCAAAGACGAAATAATCGAGCACATTAGTTCACCATGGTACAACATCTAGCACATGTGAGCTCGTGTACCTGTAGCAAATTGGTGCCATCGACAGCAAGTAGATCAAAAAGAAAGAGACAAAACTCGGTCGTTGTCTTCGTCTGCAGCACCTGGAATGGGCAGAACGTGCCCGTCTCTCGATCCATTGCCACCAATTCGCCCTCGACTATCAGCGATGGAGCAGATGAGAGCCCTCGCGTTTTCCTATGTTCCATGCACTGCCGCAAAACGTCTAAAAGGGAGGAAAATCGCTCTGTGACGTCCTCCATGTTCCTGCTGAAGATACGGCCGACGGGACCAGCGTTATTGCTGCTATCAGGAAACGATAAGTGCACTTGAACTCGCGCACCGTCGTATTTGTACTCGCACGTAGCTGTGCGGCCTGATGATTTGGCTACACGCTCCAGAACAGCCGCGACGCTGGACACCGGGTAAGCCGACATTGTCAGCACAGGCACACCCGCTGCAGGACGAGCCTCGTCGTGCAGCCATTGAACCCTTCGATCAATATCTGCTTCGTGCTGGCTGGCATGAACTAACTCAGCAAGCACGCGATAGTTGGGGTGTTGCGCGTAAGCAAGCGTGACGCAGTCGATCCACTCCTTCAGGTGTACGGATGATGTAGTGACGTCTTCCACTTCGCTGGAAGTATAAGAGGCGGAGCTTGCCATCGCAAGGGCCGAAAGAATAGACTTCTCGCCCATGCCGATACGTAGATTCTGATGCTGTTCAACACACAGGTCATCCACCACTCGTTAGGTCAACCACGCAACTCAAGCCCGGGTACCAACTCCAGCCCGACTCACCGCCAGTATCCGAACAAGAAAAATGCGCTCTTCAGGGCACCTGTAGTGCAGATACACTCATTGCATCGTCACTTAATCGTCAATAGCGCCACCAAGCATAGGTCTCCTACCTGCATTGTTGTAGCAACTTCAGCGCAAGTTGCTGCTTCCTCGCAACGCCACCAGTTCCTTCGTCCTTGGCGATTGCCATCAACTGGTCATGCACATCCGTCACACTGAGTGACTCTCCTTGCTCTTCTTCCACCTCGGGCACCAGAATCCGCCCAGTGTCCAGCAGCGCCTGCGTGGCCTGTCCGTAGTCCGGGAACGTCGCCAGCAGCTTCTCCAGCGTCTGTTGAGGCTCTGAATCCTTCTCCGTCTCCGCCTCCAATTGTTTCAAGAACCGCACGAAGCTTTTGGCTCCGAATCGCAGCTCCACCCCTTCGTAGGGCGGCGCCAGCTGCGACGCAGTGAGGTACAAGGCGCTCGCCAGCTCCTGCGACGTTGGAAGAGCCAAAAGCTCGCGATAACCATCGGCTAGCAGCTGGACGCTGGCCGCACGGGAACTCTTCACCTCCTGCGATAGTAAATCAAGTGTCAAAGCGCTGTAACTCGGCGGTGGAGAGGCGTAAAGCGCACCTCAATGGCTGAAAAAGTGCGGGCAAGCGATGCGAAAGACCCAGGATTCTGGGGTCTGATGTTGGTTTCAGAAGCCGAGTTTGTTGCATCAGATAGAAGAGATGTTGGTGAAGACGATAAGCTTCGAAGAATTGACTGGGGACGTCTAGAGACTGCGCTCTGCAGCCGCGCGCCGAGCCATCCGCGGCGCCGCACTGCCAGCATCTTGGTTGGCTGATGTGCTCAAGTTTGTGTGTGACACCTCGATTCATGATGGGAACAGTGGCGTGGACCACACGACGATCAAAGTTGAAGGGGATGCGCCCGGCTCACGAAGAGGCATTGCCCGATTAAGTCGAGTCTGAGCAATGCAACAACGGCTTGTTTGGCTTACGGTAATGGAGCAGCCCCAGTCTGCTATACGAATAAGTAAATGTACACTCACGCCGCGGCGGACGACTGGTTGGGCTTCTTGGCCAGCTTCTTCAGCGCGAGCAGCGACTCCACCCGCTCGAGTGCTGTAGAAAGCCTCTGCAATTGGTTGCCGTGGGTGTCAAGGATATCGGCCATCTCATGCTGTCGATGAGCCAGGATCTCCTGGGTGCTGATGGTCTTGTCTAGCAGATCCAACAGCATTTGCTCGTTCTGGTTCAGCTCCGAGGTCTGGCCGGACTTGTGGAGTGCAGTGAGAGCAGCGCGGTTGTCCTCCGGTTGGACGTCACCAGTGTTGGGGCGCTCGATGTTGCTACGGGAGGTGTAGTCAACGCTTCCACTCGTATTGGCGACGGTGCTGTCTCGCTCATTGCTGCCTTGTCCAAGGCTGCTGTCATCACTGCTGGCAATGGAGTTGGCACCATGCGTGTTCAAGATACCCTCAACGGCAGCAGCAGTAGCAGGCGGCAACTTGATTCGCAGCGCGGATGGTCTAACACAAGGAGCGCCACTTGGGAGATGGAAGAAGCGAGACATAGCAAGCTTCTGGTTGAGCCGTCGAAGCAAGTCGAGGCTCAGGTTTTGCTCGATCGGCTGGATGCTGTATGACTGCGCAGTGATGCACGATACAGTAACGAAGCTCTCGTCGTCGCCCCAACTGCATGGTACGATGAACCAGCCAAATATCAGGTCCTCCTCGCTCACTTCTTGGGCATTTTTCGCGCTGATAGCCACCACCACGTTGCTCCCGTCGGGATATTCTCGTCGGTGAGTCAACACACGTAGGTTATCGCCGTATGTTGAGCTGATGCTGGGGTGCAGCTCAGCGCTGTCTAGCCAAGTGTTCTCGCTCAACTCGCGTCGGTTAGAAACTTGTGAGAAGAACTGTGGATACAGCAGTGCGTCTTCGTAGTTCAGAAGCTGGGTGGCAACGTGAGTGCAGTCCCCCGTCATCTTCATGATACTCCTCGTGAACTGTTTCCCGTTGCTGTTGAGCTCAAAAGTGGTGATAGAACCATTGTTGGTCAAATCAGAGTCGGTATCTTGATCCGCCCAGGTGCTTCTCTGCAGGTGGTGAAAGTAGTCCATTGCTACCGTGATCTTGTTGGCGTATTGGCGCTGCGTGCTCGAGGTTGGACGCGCCGAGCCCGTACTATTTGAACCTCGCGACGAAGCCGTCTGCCGCGACGGAGGAAGCAGATTCAGTCCCCGTAGTGACGCGTGTAGATCCACATCCGCGTGATCTCGTCGATAGCAAGAGAGGCTAGCACCGCTGCGTACGTCGGACGGTGAGTTCATCGTACCGTCCGACGCCACGCGCTGCTCCAGCACCTCGGAAACGATGTTGGCCACCGCCTCGAGGGTCGACTTCATTGCATCGGTTGTCTTCGCGTGGGGCTCCGTGTCCAGAGCGCACACGACGCCAATCCCGTGGCCCCGTACGCGGATCGGGGCCCCAGCGTAGTAGCGCATCGAGCTACTCCCCACCGCGTGACCTCCCGCGTGGAAGTGCTTGTCGGCGCTCGTGTCGTCGACGATCATCGTACAGTCCTGCATGACTGTGTGGGCGCATACGCAACCATCTCTCGGGATGTGGGTTATTCGCTCGTCCAAGCCCACGCTCGCCTTCACCCAAAGAGACGAGTCGTCCATGATGCCGATGAATGCTGCGGGGCACTCGAGAGTGCGCGCCACGATGTTGACTAGCAAGTTCATGGTCGGATCGGCTTCCGGTGACCGAATTGTCGAGTGTCTGGCCACGCGGAGACGCGCAGTCTCGTTGGCAGGCACCGGTTGCGGCCAGAGCTGAACGACACTCCCCCTGGTCAGCTCCGACTCGGCGCTCTGCAGCGTAAGCCGCTTGTCAGGGCGGACCGCCGTCGAAGCGAGGCTCAGCACCGATACGGTCGAGAGTCGTTGGGGCTCCAGACTTGTCTCCGTCAGGGCAGCTTCGTTGGCCTTGATCGATGTGTCCGTGGCGCGGATGATGCAGAACGTGCAGACTCGCGTCTCACACTCGACGTTCATGTCGGTCAGCCGGATGGCGCGTTGACTCGAGCACCCACCGCACACCACCTCGCCGCACGTCCGGCAGTGATGGCGTCGTCGAAACGGGAGGAACTGCTGCACGCACACGCTGCAGTGGGTCCGCAGCTGGTCGTTCACCCAGGCGTCGGTCTGGAGCAGGTTCCCCACCATGAGCAGTCCTCCTTCCAGGAAGTACATCATCTGCAGCGTCTGCAGCTTGACTCGGCGTTGACTGGCGTCGCGCGTGAGCACGCCGCCCCCACCCATTTCTTCCTTATGTATGTGATCCCGTCACGGCGCGTTGATGTGTGCTGGGCGGAGAGCTATCAAGTTGGCGGCGCGAGGACCGTTGCAGGCGTAAAACCAACAAGAGCTCTTCTCGCCAGTCGAACTCCGGAGCGTGGTCTTGTGGTGCCCTGCGCAAAACGCGTCACTTCCCGAAGTGGGCGCACCGGTTTCCAGGCGCAGAGCCCCGCGTACGACCAAAGCTCTCGAGCGCATTCTTGGTCTTTCCGCAGTTTGGTCGAAAGCACCGACTTCAACGAGCGCGAAACTTGACACTTTCTGCGCGGTTTGCAGTGACTAAGGGTGAGGCTGTGGCGCTTTCGACGCTCTGGACGACATCCGGACCGCGCACGCAACGCTCGCGACGGCGTTGGTGCCTCGGCGGAGAAGAGAAGAGTTCGTGGACTTCATTGGGATCACCAAGACAACAAAGTATCTACTGTACCAGTACCTGCACCATCGGATCGGCAAGGGCGCCGTTACCATGCGTGGCAAAGCTGGCAAGCAAGACAAACGGCGGCGACCGACGCCTCGTCTATTGGGGTCATCGTCAAGCGCGCGCTTGCCGCCGCAGTTTCGGGCGCCAGTGCTCACGCGCTGACGGACAGCGCGAGGGGGTCGCGCTACAGGAGACTCGACTCGCCACTAGATCTCCACGTGGCAGCGCAGCCGCTGCACTCCTTGCGGGTGCAGCCTCGATAGGCGCTGAATGCCTCCTGGACACGTCTGAGCGTGGCGCCCCTCCTCTCGAGTGCCGATACACGCTCATGGCCAGCGTAGCGGCAGTAAAAATCCGCTCACCTCAAATCGTCGGCACACCTGCAAGCCAGGCCAGACCACCGAAGACGCTCCATGAAGCGGCTGAGCGGAGGGGCCAGTCACGCGCCGCACCGGCGGGACCAAGGCTTGAAGATCTCGTGCGAGGTGCTCGGGACAATGCAGGAAAAGGTTGACACGATCTCCCGGTGCCTCTACCCTATGCACCGCGTTCGACTGCCGATATCACGCACATGTTGGCTCGGCTCGCACCTCGTACAGCAACGAAAGCCAGCATGATAGGCTCTGATGAACACTTTCTAAAGTGTGCGTCGTATCGCGTTACGGGGGGGCCACCGCCGTCGCGGCGCGAGCGTTTTGGCCGGGCAGGCCTGAGACCACGGCAAACGCCACTTGACACTTGCCCCGGGCGCTAAAAACGTCGCCCAGCGGCAATCGTTACCAACAGGCAGAGAGGGGGCAGGGCATTGCCTCACGCTCGGCTGGTCATGACCATTTTGGGGGCGCTCTCCATGCGAAGCGCCGCCACATGGGGCGCGCTGTTGTGTGTTGCTCTATTGCCGGCATAAGCGCTCGAGGCTCCAGCTCCACCAAGGCAAGGCGGGCAGCACGCAAATCTCTTGTGCATTTTTGCACGCGGCCATCTCGCTTTTTGAAAAAAAAAATATCGAGGAAAATCCCGTAACCTCCCTTAGTCGATATTCTATTCCATAGGTAACCGGGCAGAAAATGTACCCTTCGCCTTCGCCGCCTACACCGAGCCAGTTTCGAAAACACCCGGCGCTCTCGACCTCGCCGACCTGCCGCAGGCGCACGCAGTCCCATTCTCCAAGGGGCAGCAGCAGTAGCAGCAGCACTAGCGCAGCCAAGCCAAGTCCAGCCCGCCTGGACACCCAGCAGAGCCCCGTCGCTCGCTACCCTCCTCCCCACAACCAACGTAAGCCCGGTAGCCAGCCACTCAGCCAGCCATGCACGAGCGGAACTGCTATGTAGAGCTAACCACCCCCGCGCTTATTGTCTCCCCCGCTTGCCCCCCGCAGTCTCTCTCTATCTGAAACCTCCCCCGCCGCAGCCATGGGGTGCATGAGCAGCAAGCCCAGCCACTACCCGAGCCCCCAGCAGACTGGACGCGCCAACGAGCCCAACTACACGGACCTCACGCGCAACGTGGCCAACGGCGGCTTCTCCGCCAACAATAACGGCAACGGCCCGCGCCGCCCCCAGCCCACCAAGCGCGACCCGCGCGCCAACCTGAGCGCCTCGAGCGCCGGCAACCGCGCCGACTCGGAGAACTGCTTCCCGGACCTCGTCAAATTCCGCCTCGATGAGAGCGAGGTGCTGCTTACCCGCAAGGTCTCGAGCGGCGCCTTTGGCGTCGTGTGGCTGGGCCACTACCACGGCCAGCCCGTGGCCGTCAAGCGCATGATCGACGGCGAGGACGAGGCTGTTTCCTTCTCCCGCGAGATCGAGACCATGTCCAGACTGTCGCACCCCAAGATCGTGCGCTTCATTGGCTGCACGTGGACCAACAAGAAGGATCTGGGCGGCGTGTCCGAGTACATGGATGGCGGCGATGTCCGCACGCTGCTGGAGACCCGCAAGATCGAGCTGAGCTGGAAGAAGGAGAAGATCTCCATCGCCATTGACATTGCCGAGGCGCTCGCCTACATGCACTCGCGCTCGCCCAAGATCATCCACCGCGACCTCAAGTCCCGCAACGTGCTGCTGAACACGAGCATGGTGGCCAAGCTGAGCGACTTTGGTCTCAGCCGCAACCGCACGTACGAGGAGACGCTCACCGCTGGCGTCGGCACGGTGCGCTGGACGGCGCCCGAGGTGATGCTCGGCGACAACTACAGCGAGCAGGCCGATGTGTACTCTTTCGGTGTGGTGCTGAGCGAGCTGGACACGCGCGAGATTCCGTTCGAGGAGAAGAGCAGCAAGACAGGAGCAGGCGGCGCGCCCGACATGGCCATCGTCATCAAGGTGGCCAAGGGCGAGCTGCGACCAAGCTTCGCCCCCGACTGCCCGGACGTGATTCTGCGCATTGCGCGTGCTTGTCTGCAGTTCGACCCGGCACTTCGTCCTGACAGCGAGTCCGTCGTGCAGATGCTCAACGACGCGCGTGTTCAGCTCCAGGCGATGTCATAACCGTAGCACGCAGAACCCAATGACCTCACGCAACAGCGTCTTATAGCAGCAACGGAAGCTGCTACCGTCCTCTCTTCCTGTCGCGTATGAACTGACGCGGGTGTGACTCGGCAGCACGAATCGAAGTGTTCTGAGCGTTTCTCGACTAAGACGACAGACCGCCAGTGTGATGTGGTGGAACCAACGATAGGGACGAGAGAGGAAGGTCGGGTGGATGTCTTGCGCTGCGCCAATTGGGGTCGAGAAACGACAGGGATGGTAGATTTGATTTGGTTGGGTCAGGAGTGAGCGAGTGGGCTGGTGGCTCGGAATGATCGATGGGAGTCGGCGGTGACTGGCTTCGCGAGACATAGATACTCGCGCGACGCCCCCCCGCGCGCTTATCGGCACCCCGCATTAACGGCTTGTTCCTTTGTTTAATTTTTAACACCATTGTTCTTGGATGAGTTCCTTGTTTTGTCTTGCTCAAGCTTACAAGCTTACAGACGTGAATGTTTCTGCATATTGCTAACAATCAAAACTCGCCGCACTCTAACGCGACTTGACGCGGTAAATCCGAACCATCCACGCGTCCGAGGTAAACACGTGCTCGAAGTTGTGGAGCTCAATATCGCGCGTCGGGATTCTTAATCGGCGGTTCATATCCCAGCCAAATACTGGATCATCGCCTTCTTGAGCCGGCGCACGCTCTACTTGGTTGAACTCGAAGTAGCTCAGCTTGTAGAGAACGCTCTGCGTCATGGCAAGCGTCGCATTCTCGTGGAAAATGTAGCGGCCATTCACTTGGAACTCGGACTCGATCACATCGTCTGGAAACACGCCTTCCGAAATCTTGACAATCCATGGGAGTTTGTCGAGATCATCGCCAGGCATACCGACTTTGCCTCCGAATAACAGGAACACGTAGTCCACGTCAAGGCTTCGTAAAATTGGTTGCGCGTCTTCTTCGCGCGAGGTGAGCACGCGCCCGACGGTTGCAATATGTGTATTGTTCCACGTGTTGTTGTCGACAAGCACCGTCCGATTTGCCAGCGTTGTGATTTGGTATCCGTAGTCCCACCAGCTCAGGATTTTGGCATCTTCGGGGGTATTCTGACGCAGCCATGCGAAAGCTTCACGATAATCATCATGCAAGTCCTTCTCTTTCGTCGTCATATTCATCTTCTCAAATACCAGCGACGTGGACGAATACACCTTCTTGGCAATGTTGGAAGAATGCCGAGCGTGAATAACAAGGAGAATCTGTATCATGATGAAGCACAGATCAAGGTAGTTAGTTGGTGGCAAAACAAACAGTTTCGAAACACAAGGATGCACGTACCCCGCATGCAAATACAAGCAGTTGAAGCGCACGAGAAACCGGTTTACGTTTCACACCGTCAACCTCCTCATCGGATTGGAGCCGCAGTTTAGCACCGAGAGCTGAGAAGATGTCGCCCGCATGCGACTTTGTCGGATCTTCTTTCTCTTCGCCTTCACCCCCGGATGTAGTTGCCGGGTTAGCCTCTCCCCCCACTGTTGTCTGGGGAGACTCAGCGGGATCTCTCCGCGTGATCTCCACAATTTTATGCATGAATCCTGAAGCTCCAACCGCTGAGAGGTAGCAAGCCGCTGGTGCCAGAGTGAGCAACAACCGGACCATGATACCCGAAAAGTAGAACGCAAACGTGCTGTAGACGATCATGAAGAGGAAAGCCGCGTTCAGCTTCTGGAAGGAGTAGTACACTCCTAGGGGAATAAACAGCATCGCTGGTCCGAGGGAAAAGTAAAACGCCGACCACACAGTCGGCTGGTGCTCTCCCACCGATGCGATGATCGGAATGTACTTGGACGCATACGTCGGGTCCAGCAGTGTTAAGCTTCGGCCGCTCCATTGGAGCTTCCCCAGCAAGAGCGCAACCAAAAACCCGCCGCCAACGATAGCTGCGCCAGCACTCAAGCACATTCGAAGAAGGCGCACAAAGTGGTCTTTTGGAAGTTGGGTCGACAACCACCGCATGAACGCAAACGCTGTATGCAGAAACAACAAGTCAGTCTCAGATAACAAAATACAGTGCCATTCGCCATGACGTGCCACACACCTTGCAGAAGCGCAAAGACGCCATGGGAACCAGCATTTTCGCCCTTCAGCACTGCGTTGAAGCCAACAAACGGCACTTGCATTGCGCCCAGCGTCGCCAGCGGGTAAAACGTAGAGTAGGCCACATATACCTTCGCGGAGTAATGACCCGAGAGCAGCAATGCCAGCAGGTGGATGGGGACGATGTTGATGATAAACACGTATCCTCCCCATGACAGCGCCATGGCGAAGTACGACACTGCAGCTAGCGCCGCCGACAGCATCGCGCCCGTCCGCACGGCCTTGACCCACCAGTAGAAGGTGAAAATGAGCAGGAAGATCGCAATGCCTTCGTTATCAAACGAGCCGGCCGTGGAGCGCGAGATGTAGGCAGGTGAGACGCTCAGCAGCGTGGCGGATAGCAGCGCCGTCGTGGTGTTGCCTGTCACCTCCCGCGTCAGAAGGAACTGCGCTACGCAGGCGAGTGCGGCGAACGCGGGGGCCAGGAACACGCAGGCGTCGCGGATAGAGATCGGCAGGCGCAGCGCCGCCCCAAGCAGCCACTGCAGCCCCGCAGCGCCCGCCATGAGCCCAGGATACACGGTCGTGCCCACGATGCGGCCCAGCGGGTACCACGCGCGGTCGTCAAACCAGTCCAGGAGCTCGTAGGCACCGTGCTGGGCCAGGAACTTGGTCACGCGAAAGTTGAATTGCGGGTCGAACTCGTGGATCACCTGCAGGGGCGAGAGGAAGGTTAGCGAGAAGGGGGAGAAGGGAACAAAGAACCGGGAGAACACGTACGCTGCCCCATATCACGACCGGGAAGAGGCGAATGGCGAAGCTCAGCACGCAGATGAGCGCCAGCAGCACGCTCGTCGTGAGCGGCGTCATGGCGTCTTTTTGTGTTGGGGTATGTATGGGTTGATACGTGCGACCTTCGTGCAACCTTGGTTGAAGTGACCAGCACTCTGTTCCGCACTCGTGCGGCAACTTGCCTTTCACTTGAAGATTGCAGCGCCAAGGGGAAGGAAAGCTAGCAAGACGATGCCCGTGACGAGAGGCAGAGCGCGCATGATGGAGAGCCAAGAGGAGGACGTCGAGGAAGAGACTTCCTCCCAGCAGCAGATGATCGAGACGCAGGACGAACAGGAAGAGCAGCAGACGTCGACAGAGGTGGAAGCGGACGCGCCTGTGGTCGACCTCAAGGAGATGGCCAAGCAGGTGCGTGGTCTTTCACGTCTGTACTTTAGTGGTCTCTGTGTTTTAATTAACGCGGCCTGCAGTTGACGAAGACGCTCAAGCACCTGCTGACCACGCACCGGTGAGTCCTTCTGTTCCGCACTTGAGATAGTTGAAGTAGGCGTCATGACGATGGCAATGATGCATGTCCTCGAAGGCAACTGGAGAACGACGCAGCGGAGATCCAGGCCGGAATGGACGAACTCTACCGCATGCAAGAAGAGGTTAGTTCGAGCGAACGCATGCATAGGCTGCTGCTAAGCGTTTAACACTGCCCACAGCGATCCCAGCACATCGTCGGACGGCTCAAGAACGCGAGCTCAACAATCCTCACCTTTGGAGACACGAGCCAAGACACGCACGCTGAGCGTCATGAGCCCGATGACGATGACAATGAAGACGAGGCGATGAACTAGGACGCTAGGCGCGAAATAACTGGATGCGTCCTCAGAAACCAGACGTATATTTCCCGCCAGTCTAATTGCTTCCCGGCATGACTCTCTAAGCTTCTTCACAATCCGCTATAGGACAAAGAGTTGCAGACGCACGCTTCATGTGTCTTGCAGGGTGCCCTCGACACGGCTCTACAGCTTCCGAGCTACCGAGCCCGTGATGCCAGAAAACGAGCACCCTGTACAGGAATTCTGCACAAGTCTTCTTCGCGCTGCCGCCCTGGGGATAATGAAGGTGAAAACTCACATCTTCAATGAGTCCAGATCATCCACGTCTTGCAGGTAGAGGCTCTTGTCAATCACTGCTGCCGCCGCGTCAACGGCCGGAGAAGGCTTCTCTTCGTCGTCGTCATCCTCGTCCTCGCTGTGAACGGAGTAGGCCTCGTCATCAGCATCCGCGTCATCGCGGAACAAGGTCGGGTCGTATGTGAACAGCGCACGACCACTCACTACAACAGGAAATCAAAGTTAGCCGCAGCTCTGGTAACACTAGTATGGTAAACAGCGCAAACGTACTGATGCCGCGACCGCCAGACTTCTTAGCTTGCTCCTTTAGTCGCTTCGCCTCCTCGGCCTTCTTACGAGCCTGCTTTTCAGCCTTCCACTTTGCGAGGGACTCCTCCGTAACTGGAGTACCTCCGTTGGGGCCGAGCTTAGCACGCTGCTGCTCAATAATTTCCTCAATGGAGATCTCCACCACCTTCTTGCTCTTTTCAAGCTCGCGGTCCTTCTTCGACTTGAACACGTAGCCAGGGGGGAGAGCGTGACGGTATCTACAGCAAAAAGATTACAACGCGGTCAGGAAAACTATGGCAAAAACTGTATCGGTCCATATCGCACGTACTTGCAGGACGCGCCGCCGTTTGGACAGACCCAGAACCAGCCGTACAACGACTTCTCGATAGCGTCCAAGAAGTGCTTGCACACAATTTCCGTCTGCTTGGTGTTCTTCTCGTGGTGCTTCTCGTTGACCACCTTCTCCAGCTTCTCCTGGTCCCATGTGTCCATTTTATCTGGCATAGGGCAACCACATCAAGACGATGAAAAGTCAGCTCCACCGCAACCATCTTCAATCTGCAGCTCTCGCACCTGCTTCTTTCTCGGCACGGTTGTCCGTGTACAAGTCGATCTTGGCGGCCTTCTTGCCCACCATCAAGTCGTGCGAGAACTTGCAACGGTTGCCCTACACCACCCACACACACAGCTCCATCGTCGTAAGAAACGGAGCAAACTTCTCGTCGCCCTGACGCTGGTCTAAAGTTACCTTCGAGCACACGCCGGCCTTGAAGAAGGCACACAGCACCGACTTGGGGTCCGTTCCAGGCGGGAGCTGCACGCACACGAACAATGCAGTCAGAAAATGATGCTAATTGCGCCAGGCCAGGCCAGCTCAACCAACGCACCTTGGGCTGCGTGATGGCGGCGGCGAAGAGACTCTTGAGGTTCTCCTGCTCCGCCTTGGCATCCTTCTTCCGCTTGTTCTCCTGCTCCTTGAGGCGGTCGGCGCGCGTGTTGGCGCCCTTGACCTGCTTGGTCACCTCCTGGATGTACTTCTGTATGTTCTTGCTCTTCTTCTTGTTCTTGAGGCCGAAGGTCTTGTCTTCCAGGATCTTCTCCTTGGCCTTCTCGACGGACTTCTTGGAAGGGCCGCCTCCTTTCTTCTTCGGCGGCATGCTTGCTTACTAGGCTCGGGTTTGGCTAGAGGTGCGGTGGCGCGGGGCGGAACGAGAGCAGCGGATACCCTGCTAGGTGCCGCTGGTGGTGCAGACTCGAATTCGTGGGCTGTAAATGCTCTTACCACATACCGGTAGGGGACTGGTTGAAATTAGAGGAATATCAGACTCATTTCAACCAATCCGGAGGGGAATAAATTTCAAGGCATGTTAAGTACGCAGTGAAAATTAACTGTAAGCTGAAGACAATTAATGAAGCGGAGCCAATTCCAGCGGAGCCTGCGCTTCAGTCCATCGCAGCTGGATCATTGTCGTTGCTGTCCATGAGGGCGCTGCAATATCATAGAGATGGCGCAGAGATCCATTGTTCATTGAAACTCGTACAAACAAAGATAAAGGTTTAATTGATTGCTTGAGTGTGGCGAGGCGTCAGGCTCGCCGTGTATACATCAGGCGAAGGGCAGGACATGGCCTCCTCCGCGGCGACAGCGGCGCAGTCCTCCTTGAGCTTGCTTTCGTGGCGCTTGGCGTCGCACCAGTCGTAGTAGTGCTTCATGACCAGCAGGATGACGCTGCCGAGCAGCTCGAGCGTCGACGGGATCCAAATGGGCCACAGACCCTCGCCCATGCCGTAGATGGTGATGCACGTGATGCCGACGACGAAGACGGACTGGAAGGCCTTGCTGATGTCCTTGGCGCTCTTGGAGTGGTACACCTTGACGATCTGCGGGACGAGCGCCGCCGAGACGAGGAAGGACCCCACGAGTCCCAGCGTGTCGTAGAACGTCTCCAAGTTGGTCATGGCTGCTGTGGCTTGGGTGGGACCCTCGAGTGTGCTGCGTGTACGGCCTTGGACGCTGGTTCGGATGTGATGCGAGCAATGCTGTGCAAGCACGGCAGTCGTTTCGTTGGCTGTGACTTTCGAGCAGAAACTGGACCGCCACGTTTCAAGTGCAAGGTTATCGGAGTTGTGTGGTGCTACCAACGATGTCTGCCCTCGGGCGGTTCCTCGCGTGGTTTGGCCAAAGGTTGAGAGCGCAGGGTGCATGTAAGAGTTTCATGTATTGTTTGCTAGGCTATTACTGCTGTAACTGCGCACTCCGCTGCGTGTGTTAATGCTAAGCTTACAGCGTCCGCGCTGCCGCCTCGCCGCATTGACTTCGCGTGACGGGCGAGGCGACGTCGACCTCCACCTCGGGGCTGGCACCAGCGGCCTTGCTCACGTCCGAGTTCTTCCTGTCCTGCCAGTCATAGTAGAGCTTCATGCTGAACACGACCAACGCCGCACTCAGCTCGATGGTGGCCGGGATGTACACGGGCCAGAGCCACCGGCCAAAGCCGTAGGCCACGATCATGGCGAGCCCCACCACGTACGAGATCTGGTACGAGTAGCTGATGTCCTTGGCGCTCTTGGTCTTGTAGAGCTTCATCATCTGCGGCACCAGCGACGCCGCAAGCAGCAGAGATCCGAGGAAGCCAACGATCTGGAACGCTTCGCCCATGGTCTGAAGATTGTCGTCGAGCTTGAGCTTTGAGTCAGGGCGAGCAGAATCGGGAATGGCGATGTCGGACAGGCCAGCCGCTGTCGATCCTCGAAAACCTAATGCACAAACGTATGGCTTATGGCAGTGACAGCTTCGAGCAGAGTTGGTAGCTTAGCTGGCGTTGGAGGTTGTAACGAGCTTCAAACTATACATGTACTCGTTGTTAACCTGTGTATTTGTCTCCAGTTACTACCGAATAACCTTAGTTATGAGCTACTTCTCTGGCCCACTTAAGAAACAACATTCGGCATTAAACCTCAATTTGATGTGGACCACATGTCACATATGATTGGGTATAATCAACTGTTTCAGCTTACTATTGGCCAAAATAAATGGGTCTGCGCATGTCGAGATAATCGCGTAGAAAAACCTCCAAACTGTAGCCCTTCTAACTCGTCTCCAACAGGCGCTACAACATCGACAAACGAACATAAGGGTAAAGCAGTCACTCGCGATTACGGTGATATTTTATTTTCTAATATCGCTAATTTTTGACGGCACCTCGCTTAAAAACCTAATGTTGCCTAAAACGGACTTCAGATAAAAGGCTGTTTCTCTTTTCTTTCTGCTGCTAGATTTTTTAAATCATAGCGTGAAACGCGCAGCTTTCGGTTGAGGTATTGTGAGTCGCCAAACGATTTTTTTGTAAATAGTTATGTCCAGAAAACCGAAGTGTTGTTTCTTATGTGGGCCAGAGAAGTACACCTGATTTGAAGTGGAGAGAAGACGCGGAAGTTTGCATAAAATTTTGATTCATACAAAAATCAAATATAACACCGGGAAGTGCTATAAAAAGCCCATGGATTTTGTGCCTTTTGATTGGCCAAATTGGTCTGTATCCCTTAACAAGTTGTATCCCATAACTAAGGTTATTCGGTACCGGCACGTCTTCGTACAGGCAGGCTGCCGTTGAATTACTTCGGCGTGAGCGCGTATTTGTACGACGTGGCACTTGCTCTCTCCGCTGCGTCGACCTCCAAGTCCGAGGCCCCGTCAGCCTCGCGTCTGTTGTAGATGAACTTCATCACCAGCAGCGTGAGGCCGCCCGCGAGCTCGATGACCACAGGGATCCAGGTGGGCCACAGCGACTCGCCGAGCCCGTACACCGCCACGAGGATGAGGCCTGCCACATACCGCATTTCGCATGTAGAGAATCACACCCCATGCCGTAGGTTTAGGTTAATCACTGCACTCGAGCCTAAAAACAATGTAAAACCCAAAAACTGGGTCACGCGATCATTTCGTGGCAAGATGGTTGGTCATGCCGATGGCGCTGAGTGATCTCCTCTAGGATGGCGCTTAAGCTAGCAACAAGTCTAGGGGCCATCTACAACTGCGTTGCACAGGAACCACACCACTTAACCAATTATCTACAGCGTTGCTTCTTCTACTACCATCGCTGCAGCAGCCGTGTTGTGCGCTCTCTCGAGCTTGCGCGTTGTGGTTTAACCTCGTGCTCCCCATATCCCGCACTCAGGCGCGCCTCAACTGGGCCCACACCAGGCGTGGCTACTAACTATCACTCCGACGAGGCGTATGCCTCCAAGCGCGCGGGGAGGGGGCAGCGCGACGTTGGCGAGCGGTGCGCAGCTCTTCCCCTCTACAATGTGCATGCAAAAATGCGCAAAATACCCAAATTAGGGGTGTATCTCTCTACATGCGATCCCACGGACTTTTCTCTCGCATCTCTGATTGGTCTAAATAAAGGTGTATCTCTTAAACCGCTGTAGCGCTCTACATGCGAAATGCGGTACAGCAACTGGAAGGAGTGACTGAGGTCCTTCGCGCTCTTGGTGCGGTAGACCTTGACGATCTGCGGGACGAGCGACGCGGAGATCATGAACGAGCCCACGAGCCCCAGGATGTTGAAAGCGAGCCCCATTATTAATACGCCGATGTCTGCCTGCTTCTGTGTCGGATGCTGAGTGGGGGGGGGGGGGGGGGGGCTGAAGGTCTTCCAGCGGAGCGCCACTGCGCGTCACCTTTCGAGAAGTACCTCATCTTGACAATTTTGTACCGACGTGATAACTCATTGCGAGCTTCTAGTAGCTCAACCAGTGTGCTGTCATGACAGTTGCTACTAGCAGCTCAACACGAGCGCTTCTATTTCCTCGAGTTACCAAATAATCGTTTGCTTACACGCTCTGGTTGTGGACGAAGTGGGGGGACGGCGATTTACGGGGTTTGCACGACGCCGGTGAACTTGGTCTCGCTCCGCCGCGTGAGCGGGGACGCGCCCAGTTCGAGAGCGTGGCTTTCGTCGTCGGCCCCAGAGGCGCCGGGCTTCGTGGCGTTGCGGTCGTAGTAGAGCTTCATAGCCAGCATAACGAGCCCCGCCACCTCCTCCACGGACGCAGGGATGTAGATGGGCCAGAGGTTCTCGCCGAAGCCGTAGATCAGGATGAGGCCGATGCCGAAGCAGTAGAGCAGCTGGAAGCGCAGGCTGATGTCCTTGGCGCTCTTGGTCTTGTACACCTTGTGCATCTGCGGGACGATCGAGCCGGCGATCACGAACGAGCCAATCATGCCGATGGTCTGGAAAGCGACGCCCATCTTGCTGTAAATATGCTGCGGCGGGTAGCGGAGGAAGGTGCTTCTGAGCGGAAGGCGTCAAGTTACGAAGTGAGCCACGTGCCGGTGCCAGCGTTGTAAAAGTTGTTTTTTTGCTTAATGGAACAATGGAATATTGGGGCAACCCACCCACCCTACGCCATATAAATTATATATACGATATAATGTAGCGTTACAGTGCAAATAATAGGACAAACAGTCCAATAGTTGGCCAAGGATAAATTATTTTATGATTTTGAGACCAAACGAACCAATCAGAAGCCTATATTGTCGAATTTTATGAAAAACAGAAAACCCACCTACTTTCACCCAATCCCCCAGATAGATTCAATCACCCGCCCGACTTTGTCGAAAAAGGTGGGTTTTTAACAACATTGCCCGGTGCCCGCGCAGCAGCGGTGGTGCGCCGATTTGATGAGTGGAGCGGGCACGCCCACTTCCACAGATGGCAAATTTGTATCGGCGACCATCGTAAGGCGTACCGGCATTGCATGCCTTTGACCCTGAGACACGACGGTTGCCGCGGATTCTGGTGCGAAGTCCGTTACAGCACCTTTAATGCGACCGCACAACATCTGCCTAAAGCGCCTTTAAGCCCTACGGCGCCTTTAAGCCAAAAAGAGGGGGTGAATCTGGGGTGCTGCAGTGTTCTGGAGCAGACCCTCGCAATTAAAAAACTACGTAGCACCGAGTTGCGGCAACGGGTCCATCCGCTGGAATGCCTGGTGCAGGACCTACCTCCGCAAAATCGTGCACACCTGCTTTACGAGCACTCCGCGCAGGTTTGCTTACTGTGGCAACGTGTCCTCACAACAGCTCACAACACGACCAGATGAGCCCATGACACCCGTCCCGCTGCTCCCCGTCAATACAAATCCCCTATTATTCTGATCTGTGTACAGATTTGCTTCTGTACACAGACTTTGCACAGATTGCTTGGGCGCCCTTAACTTTACGGCGCCATTAAAGTGTAGGAGGGATGACCTCCAGGCCTGATGGCTTTGGAAATGGGCACCCCGAAGGAGTCCCTGAGGAGGCGGGGGTCCTGCTAAGTGCCTACTTGCACTCCGCCGATGCAAGCTAGTGCGTTCGATAGCTCTAACATACCTCTATGAAGTAGGCAGTACCAAAATTTTGTCCAGGTGCAGGCTTACGTGCTGCGTAGAGTCAAAGTTAGCACCCGTTTCGGACTTTGGAAAGTTGAGGCAACAGTCTATATATCCCCCTCCTACCTGAAAACCAGCTGCTTTACTAATGGCGCCCAAGGCGCCATTTACGGTGCTGTTGTGCTGTCGCATTAAAGGTGCTCTAACCACCGCGGAAGTCAACGGAGCTCGCACGCCTCCAGTCTCTGCTTTATCTGGCGAGCGGCGGAAACGCGTCTCCACGAAACGTTGGCGGAGGCTCGAACACCATCAACTGTAGTGCCTGCAGGTAGAAGACGCACTGGGGGAGGGCGAAGCTCCCGGAAGTTTAGCCGTAGTCTATTGCTCTTTTGGTAAATAGCAAAGTGAGGTCCTTCCTAACGCTACATGTACAGTAGACGTGCCAGGCAATTGCGTATCTACAGCGAAGTATGTGACTTTGCCGCCAATAAACCCGCCGATTTACAATATATGGATACACTGGAAAAATACTCTTAAATTTAATTTTGTCCCCTAAAATTGATTATTCCTCGTAACATATTACTGACTGTGCCCCAACCAAAAACAGCTAGGAATTCGAAAATGGTCTGAAACTGAACAAGAGATGGTAAAACATTGTATTCATGATCGAACTAATCAATGTGCGATACAACTACTTTTAGGTATAAAAACTGCGAAAGTCGTTATGTCTTGCAAATTTACAGCGAGTACCGAATCTGACACACATTACGGAGAAAGTAAGATTTAGAATAAGAGCTCTCGGAACAATGCTTACAGCTGTAACTGCGTAAGTGGAATAGGTGGTGGTAAGAGGTGCCATGACGATCTGTGCAATCAAGGCTTCCCGGCAGCTCTTATCCATCCAATCCGCCTAGTCTTCTGAGCACCATCCGTTCATCTGGCGCCGAAGTCACTGACCGTACGGAAAGACGTCGTCATTTTCAGAACGGCATGACAAGCCAACAGCCGTTGGTCGCCGACACCTTAGCGCGGCTGTTAGCGCGGGAGGAAGAGCATACCAACTCCCTTGCACTCTCCCACCATGAATTCAGCGAGTATCTGGACCACCAAGAACAAGAACCGACTGTCGAAGACGACGCTCCTGTCATGCTGTCTTTCGTCCACGACCTGGGCCCCAACGCTCTCAAGTCCATGACGAACTTCACCGAAGACGAGTTCTCGCTGCTATGGGAGCAGGTGGAGGAGAAGCTTCTACCAGCCTGGAATCTTGGCCGTGGCAGACGGCACAAGGTCAGCACTAAGGACGCGTTTTTCATGTCCCTGACAGTCCTCAAGCATCATGACAGCTGGCTCAAACACGCGACGGACTTCCGGATGCTGCCGCCAACGTTCGAGAAGATGGGCAACAAGATAAGAATACGTCATAGTGCAGACAAGAATGAGCGCATGATATTTGACTCACTGTCTGTGCATGTAGGTATGGTCTTTGGTGGAAGAAGTGCTGATGGAGCGCAACGTTACGAACGTTACGATGACAAGCCAAGAGCGCTGCAACCAGCAGTTCGCCAACTATCCCTACGCGCTCTACGCACTGGACGTCAAGTTCCAACCCGCGTATCGACCATCCGACCGCTTCACTGAGCAGAAACACTACTTCTCAGGAAAACACAAGTTGTACGGCTTCAAGATCGAGTGTGCGATGGTACCACCAGGCTTGGCGGTGCATGTGTCGAAGCACTACCCTGGATCTGTGTCCGGCATAGCCATCTGTATGAAGAATCTGGAAGTGCACAAGCGGCTGCTGCACAAGACGACTGCTGAGGCTGGGCGAAACGACTACGGAGAAGACTCGATGTCGTTTGGCAACATGTGGGGTGTTCGGGCCGACAAGGGTTATCAAGGGCTCGAAATGTCTGTGCGCGCCATCATACCGAAGCGTCGTCCTCGTGGCGGACCTCTGACGTACGACGAGGAGAGTCGTAACCGGCGCGTTTCATCGGATCGTGTTTTGGTGGAGAACTACTTTGGCCGCATGACGACACTCTGGCGCGTGGTGAGCACTACGTTCACGTGGAGTGAAGCAAAGTTCGACAGGATCGTGAACATTTGCGTGGCACTTACCAACTTTCACGCCAAGCTGCATCCTCTACGGGCCGATGACCAGGATCGGTACTCGCAAATTTTGACGCGTTACGTCTCGATGCCTGAGGCTCAGCGCAAAAAGCGCGAACGCGATCGCGTCGTTGCGGAAGCCAAGCGAGCCAGTGCCCGTTTGTCCGTCGAGTCCACGGCTTCCAACTCAAGCTCAAGCTCCCACTCAAGCATGCGCGCGCGCACACGATCCCAGGCCAGCACAACCGGAGCCCGCAACTCTTTCAGTGCGACGACAAGCTCCTCGCCCGGATCAAGCCCATGCTCTGGTCTTAGCGCGATTCTGGGCTCTCAGACCTCGACTGTTATGGGCTCCCAAGAACTCTCGCAGGAGTTTTAAGCTCATGAGCCCACAGTAGTGAAACTTCACTACTAGTTTTCTGCATTCAATACATACATGCATATTGCTTGCAATCGTTAATATGTGTTCTAATTAGATCTACTCACTCTGAAGGGTTTTAGACACTTAAACAATGTATGCACCATGGATCATCGAACTGACTTGTCATTTGTATACAAAAAGTCATTAGAAATATGTATGAACAATCGATCATTGAAAAGGCATAAGATTAACACCAAGTATTCGACTTAACTTCAGTAAGAATGTTCCATCACCGAAATTAGTCATTTGGATGCACCTAAAGCTAACTTAGATAAAGTATGCACAGCCAGTCACGGTGCTACTCGAATAAGATTTTTGGGTTGACGAAAACATAAGATTATCTTATAAACCTTTTAAATTTTATAAATTATAATTTTGTAGAGATATTTATTCAATGTAGTCACTGTCTGTGAGTCGTGCGCACTTTCCGGGGATGATGGCGAGGATGCGGTGATGTCAACGACATCAGGCACCGGATAAGATGCTGGCAGAGGATAAGATGCTACCGGACGAGTTGGAACAGGTGCCTCGTTGACAGAATCCTCGATGTCGGCGCTGAACAGGTTGAGGAGAGCCCGACACATGGACAAACAGCGCGACTCCCATGACATTGGTACACTTCAAGCAGACAACTTGTACAAAAAAATGCTGGCACGATGTCCCCGAAATTGGGTCCTCTACATCTTCGCAGCATATAGCACACTCGAGGTTGCTGCCGGCGGAGTCGCCGGAGGCGATGCAGCGAGGGCATAGATTCCACTGTAGCCATTTCGATAGGGATGGTGGTTGACACGCCATCGGCAGTAGTAGCAACAACAACAGCGGCAGCAGCCTGTACCTGGATAGACGTAGATGCTCTGTGTTTTCGCTGGTGATATCGCTCCCGCGCTTGGGCGTTGATTTTCTCCTTCGTCAACGATGCACGGCGAGGCTTCTGGCAGACGCGGTGCTCGAGGTGTCGGCGAAGGCTGCTGATGCTGGAGAACACCTTCCTGCAGAGATGGCATCTGCGCGCCATTTTTGAAATGAGAGCATTCAAAGAATCATACAAGGCCTTATCTATATTTGTACTTAAGTACCTCAGCGGGCTGAACCATCAAAATAAGCTCTCAGCTTTCTTCTTTTAGCCTTGTTTCGCTGTTGAGCTCGTAATTCGAAGCTGCACCGTTCAAAGGAAAGATTCTAGAAGCTGATTATATTCGGAGCGGCATCTTATCATGGAATGCTGTAGTCTTTTTATCTCACAGTTGCGCAGTTAGAAAATATATCGACGGCGTGCAGATATAGCGCTCCTCTCTTCTAATTTCGACTTTTTGCTTGCTATTGGTATACACGCTATAAATTGTATAAATAACTGAATTGCGCAGTACATAGCCAACTAGTTAGTCTTCTAGTAGTCTGCTTCGTGGCCGGGGTGCTCTGGTGATGATGGCCACTTGATTGGACGCGATGAATGTCATCGCTATTGTCGTTATGGATCAGCTGTGCAATCCTCATTGTCGTTATTACCGTATTGATTTAGTTATTGTGGGGGTTTAGTTATAATGGGGTTGCCAAAAAAGGAGCCATTTTGGAGACGGGCGAAGTCTTTATGAAGAAGTTTGTATGGAGTGATTGATGATCGAGGTACTCATTCCCATTTTGTATCACCCCCATCATAACTAAATATACTAAATATGGTAGGTAGCTTCCCGCCACTGTAGTTGGTGTGAGCTGGATGTATAGGCATGCTTGCATGCACTACATGTACACTGCTCCCCCAAGCTTGCTCCAACTATAGAGGTGAGTGTAGGTCACGATTAGCGAAAGTGTTGGTTTTCTGTAACCATTTGTACCCATGTCCCCACTATGTAACAAGTGTTACAGGTGCAACGTGTTGCACATTTAATTGGATACCGAAGCCAATATTGCGTCAAATGAGCTCTGAAGTGGTGTCAAAATGTTAGCACAGGGATGGACTACATTATCTTAGTCGGGCGACGGACTATTTTAAAAACAATGTGTTTTTGTCAAAAATACAACTTGTTGAGGAGTAAAACGTTTACTGGAGATTGTTCCAGTACCTTGCAACCTTTCCATCTTGTTTTTGGATGTATTGGTCAAGGAGAACCTTGATGTCTCGGGCGAGAAATTTGAGGGGTTTCCACGAGTCTTCTACAGACTCCAGGCCTTGCCAGGCAACCAAAACTTCATAGTCATGGATGGACGGGTTCCAGCGATGCTTTTTCAGGTCTCGCACGGCCAAGATGATGCCTTGGGAGGCCACATGCTCGAGTAGCTCCTCGGTAACATTCAATTTGGAGTCCGCATAGAACTTCAAACCTGATGGATGCGCGTCCAGCTCCTCCCCAGTCACCAAATGACAGATTCTGAAGGAGTGCGAGTCCGCTCGGACCACGTGGAAGGGTCCCTACCAGGTAACGAGTAGCTTGTTGCCCCTTTTGTCGTCTACCCAGGAGCGCAACACGTAGTCTCCCACGTCAAAGTTGACGACGTTCTCTCCCCGCTCTCGCTTTTTGTTGAGAAGCTGCTGCTTAAGCCGTTGGCCGGCTATGGGCTGGTGCATTGTGCACAGGCTTTCGTGTAGCGTAGCTAAATGTTGGGAGATTGCCTCAGAATTGGTGTGACTAACCGCTTCTTCCCAGCGTGGTAGAACTTAGCCAGTGGCGATGGGCACGGCAAACCAGTGAACAGCTCCACAGGTGCTCGGTTGCCTAACGATGGAAGAGCTGTGTGGTTCAGGCTAGACTGCACAAGCGGGACTAGGTAGATCCAATCTTTTGAAAAAAACTTGTAATCTAAAGTCATGGCCCTTAGCACCTGCAGGATGACGCGGTTTACGCGCGCCACCGATCCGTTGATCCACGGACTGTAGGCGAGAGTGAAATTTTGCTGGCTTTTGAGCCGTCTGGAAAGCTCTGCCACCACTTCGTTTTTGAAGTGGCTGCCATTGTCACTAACCCATACTGGTGGGACGCCAAAACGACTGTGCCAGTCTAGTATGGCTGAGGTTGCCACTGCACTGTCAGCCGTATCACCCACAACCAACTCGCAGAAGTGTGTGGCATGGTCTTTCAGCACCAGCAGGTATTTGCTAGTGCCGAACGATTCACCCATGGATAGGATATCCCAGTGTAGGACCCCATTTCTCTCATTGCACTCAATAGTCTCAGACCACGGTCGCCGGATCGTTCGCCCTCCCTTCACATGTGGGCAAAGTAGGCAAGCTGCCACAAATGTGTGGACAACATTCCGTAGGTCGGGAATATGAAAAAATGCGCCGTAAGTGGTTGACCATTGCTTGTTCACCGCGGTGGCCCTGGGCCCCGCAGTGGGCAATCACACAAAGCCTCCGTGTCAAGTCTGGGCTGGCACGGGGGATCCAGATGCGCTCGTCAACTCGCAGCGCACCATCGTGACCCCTCACGGCAGTTGAAGGGGCTGCGTGCTGTCGCTGAGCAGCTACAATCTCTGCCAGTGATGGCCAGAAAGCCTTCGTCGTCAAGAGGCCGGAGGATCGGCTTAGTACTGGACTTGCCGGCTGACTGCTTCTGCTTTGTTCTCTAGCGAGTGAAACGTTTCAGCGTGACCACACTCGTCGGCTGACCAGCCCATCGGGAAAGCATGTCGGCCAAAACATTGGAGGCTCCATCCACATACTCAATGACATAGCGGTAGCTCATCAACTTCAACGCCCATCGCTGGAGTTTCCCCCGAATGTGTTTCTTGATGCTGACATGGGGCGCGAAGACGTGAATGAGATTTCTGTGGTCGCAGAACAAACGAAATGGCCGCGCCCTCAATAGCAAGTAGTCTAGCTTTTCGCATGCCACCACTATAGGGTAAGCCTCCTTTTCAATCACGAACCAATTCAGTTGAGAACCGCGAAAAGTTCCGCTCACGCACGTGAGCAACTGATGCTTCTGTGTGGTGATCGCAACTTTCGGATCGTAGTCTTGCACCTGAGTAACAATGACTGCGAAGCCCGTGTCGGAGGCATCGGAGAACACGCAGGTAGTCGCATCATGGTCAGGGAGTGCTAGCGTGGCGGCTGTCGCCAGGCGATCCTTCACGTGGTCGTACGCAACTTTCTCGGCTGCTGATAACTCGATAAATATCCCAGCAGCAACACGCTTTGTGCGCTTGCTATTGCTGAGAGCTTTATCTAGTCACTGTTGCAACGGCTCCACGGCGCGTGCATAGTCCACGATGGACTCACGCATCCAATTAGCAGCACAGATGAACTGCTGCAGCTGGCCGGCCGTAGTCGGATAGGGCATTGAGCGTAGGACATCGATCCACTCAGGGTCATGGGCTACGTCGTCGATATTGATAATGCGGCCGCACCACTGCACTGACTGTTGATACAGACTGCTTTTGTTTGCGCTGAGCTTGAGGCCGAACTCGACCACCAAGTCGAAGAATCGCTCTAGCTTCGATAGGTAACCGTCCATATCATCAGCAAAGAGTAGGAGATCGTCGATCCAAATAACAAGACACTCGTACAAAAGAGGGTCAAAGCACTCCTCCATAATCTGCTGAAAATGAACAGCAGCATCGCAGCACCCTTGGGGCACCCGACGAGGAGTATATATTTTGGAGTCTGTGATGTATGACATCAGTTCCTGACTGAGCTCATCTAGTGGGAGCTGCCAGAATCCTTTGAGGAGATCAAACAGTCCGTAATGCTTCTTGCCCTTCGTATACTCTAGTAGCTCACGCATGTGTGGCATTGTACTGATCAGCGCTTCGATGAGGTCGTTCGCTAGACGGTAGTCACAGGTTTGCCTGTACTCGTCAGCGGTGCCTGGCTTACGCACCGGAAGCACCGGGCTGGCCCAGCGGCTGGTAGGGTTCTCATAGACCCATCGCGTTCAAACACGATATTTGGCGTTTGGAGCTGGGCGATGACCCCCCAGCACGCGTCAGACCGCTGAAGCTCCGTCTCAAAGAAGGAGCGAAGGCCGTGAAGAGCAAGCCACGCCGCTATCCTCCGGCAGTGCGAGCCTTTCTTCGTGAATTCAACCAGAAACTAGTCGAGTTGGGTTGACACGGAGTTGCTCAACAAGATGGCTCGGAAACCCGTGATCGAGTGCCAATTGCACTAATCTCTCATCGGCAGTCCGTAGCTCATCATCTGTCGGCGGCGACGCAGACACAGAGGCAGCTTCGTCGGTGTCGAGCAGGTCGCTGTCGTCGTCATTGTCGCGCTCCGCGAGCTGCTCAAGCTGCCGGTCGATGTGTCTTCAGCATGTCTTGGCCTAATATGAACTCGGGCTCATTGTTGTCGATGACCAGGCATTCGACAGGTTCGTGGATCGCCACGGAACCTGCAGCCGTGTTGAGCAGGACTCGCAGATGCACCGATGTGGTGCATGTGATCTCATTCCCAGCCACAGCTACAATCACCACTGGCGTGTCGAGACGGTCCAACGTGATGGAGGGCTCACGTAGTTTCAGCTCTTCAACGTGCCTCTGACTAATTGCAGTCCTTTCAGCACCAGTGTCCACACAGTAGGGTAGCTCCATCACGTCATAAAGCGTGACGTTTTTTTCCTCGGAAGGGATGCATTCCCGAAGACGTTTCAGCCGGGCAACCTCTCTCTTGCTATTGTCGCCTCGCTGTGCACGCAATTTCTTACGTATCTCGGCTTTCTCGCTGTCCGTAGCCCTGGGGCATTCGGACAGCCAATGGAGATCGCCACAGTGCGGGCACGGCGTCGGGGGGGGACTTTAGGTCGCTCTGCAGGCGACTTCGTGGGCGCTCGAGGGCCAGTACCACTCGGTTCACCAAACAGTCTCGGCTTCTTAGCAACCTTCTTGCCAGCACCGCGCGCAGCCGGGCGCTCGGCGTCGCGGTCACTTTGGTCTCGGGTACGGTCGCGGTCGCGGTCGCGCTTGGCACGACGCTGGTTCTGAAAAGCCTTCTCATGATCGAGGGCCTTCTCGAGAATTAGGTCGTGGAGAACGACTTCGTCTTCTCTCGCTTTGCGCGTTTGAAAACGAGCAGTTCGATCCACTTCCTCCCGTAGAGCCTTGGGCTCCAACGACTTGATTAGGATAGAGCATAACTACTTCCTACCGTCCTCGCCGGTAAAAAACACTCTCCACCCGTGGCCATCGATAATTTCATGGCAGAGCTTGAAATACTGAATAAAACGCTCGTGAACATCACTCTCGCTCAGGTCCATGCGGAGGTTTTCGGCCATCTCCTGGTCGATGTCAGGAACACTGCCGTGGTGATAGTTCTTTCCACCTCAGCCAGGATGGTGGCGTCCGTGACGCCATCAATGGACTTCTTCCATCGAAGGCGACACCACTGCCTGAGCAGCCCCTCGTCAAAGGCATTCTTCACCGGGACGATTAATGGGTTAAATCGTCCGTATCGCCTTTTGCGCGGTTCCGATCTTCATACTCGCGACACTCCTTACGCCACTTGACCAGAGCAGCATGCGAGGTGCTCGTGATCCTCGGCGGCAGTATCAGAGTGAAGATCGGGGCCGAAGCCCTTTCCCCGTCGTCGTCAGGTGAGGTCGAGCGCTGAGCTCTAGTCTTCGTCATGGTCGTCTTGGTACATCAGGTTACTGCTAAAGAATTCTTTGTAGTGTCTGCGTCATTCCTAACGCTACATGTAGTCTGCTTCGTGCCTGGGGTGCTCTGGTGATGATGGCCACTTGATTGGACGCGATGAATGTCATCGCTTTTGTCGTTATGGATCAGCTGTGCAATCCTCATCTCCAATTATAGTATCGCCAGTATAGACAAATTAAAGCCCCCGTAACCTGGACATCTTACGTTTTCAATCAACAAATTTTGATCTCTCCAATTTCCAGCCAGCAATGGCTGTAGCCTCCGTCAAGAGATTTGAACACGAATTGCTCGTTACACCAATTTACCCACTCTGATTGGTTTAAAATGCGTCTGTCGTTGGCCCCCGGCACATCTACGCGAATCCTTCGCAGCCTGACTGCTGCTGGGTGCTGGCACTCGGACTCTATCTCGGCTCCAACCCAACGCTAGTCCCTGGAAAACTGTTCCCGGGCTCCAACCAGAAATCAAGATTTTGCAAGACAATTGGGAGAATGCTCGAGGAGATTACGGGAGAAAAGGCGTACGGGACTCACTCCATCCGAAAAGGAGTCGCTACGTACGCTAGCAGTGGCAGCACCGGTGGTCCGTCAATTGTTAGTGTGTGTTTGAGATGCGGGTGGTCGCTAGGTGGTGTTCAAGACCGGTATTTTCGGTACGAAGCTGCTGGTGATCAATATCTCGGGCGGGTAGTTGCTGGCCTGCCTCAAAACAGCTCTCAATTTGCTGCGTTGCCCCCTCACTTCAAGGATCCGCAAGCCGAATTTATTCGAGACTGTACCAAGCAAATGTTTCCCGCATTGAAAGCCGACGCACACGTGGCACCTGTGCTCCAGCTGTGCCTTGCTTCCCTGGTGACGCACGCCGATTTTCTTCGCCAAGGTCTGCTACCGAAGCATGCTTTGCTTTCTTCCTACATCTTTCGCGATTCCAATGTCATGGCACGACTCTCCAGCATGCTGATTACCGGTTGCAGTACGTGGATACGCCCTACTGGTATACCCCCACACACCAAATAGAGGTTAACAGCATTAACAAGGCGTTAGTCGTGATGACGCAGCACATTAGCTCGTTCGATAGATGCTTGTTCGTCTTACCTCGACACCGTTCCCGTCGAAGATGCACGACAATGGGATCTGCAGAGTGAGTACTGCCCTTTAGTGATGAGAATATTAGCCAATCAGACGACGTTCGTTATGCGTGTCACGACCCGGTTACGGGATCTCGACACAAGTCATCGATAAAACCAATAGAACATTACGCCGGCAGATTTTACTAGTAGTTCGGACCAGCGCGACGTGGCGTCTCATCATTGGTTGAAAATCTATGTCACACGCCTTCATGTTCGCTTAAGTACGCCAGAAATTCTACCTTCCAGAAGAATCTGCCGGCTCGAGGAAAGATGGTGAAGCTCTTCTGCGCGATCGTTGGTGCGGCGGGCAGTGCGTTTCCTGTGGACATTGACGCGGGTCAGTCGGCGGGAGACTTGAAGAAGGCGATCAAGGCGAAGAACCCGGCGACTATCACGTGCGACGCCAACGACCTGCAGCTCTTCCTGGCGAAGAAAGACGAGGGCCGCGGCGCGTGGCTGCCAGACGACGACCAAGCTGCGCTGGATCTGGAGGACGGAAAGATTCATGAGGACATTCAAGCGTTGATCGATGGAGAGAAGATGAAGGCGACGTGGACAATTGAGGACGTGTTGACAGCTAACAATATGACCAAACGGAAAGGGCGCGCTCCAAAGTCGAGACAAATCCACGTGCTGGTGGTGGTTCCGGAGCAAGAACACGCACAAACTGGATTGTGGCTTGTCACTGGATCCGTTGAAAACGCGTTGATCACGAAAGGAATTCGCTGCAAACTGTACTGGATGGCGACGTTACGCATTGGATACTACGATCCTACGCGCTGCATCGGCAACAAGAATGTCGCGTTTTGGTATGAAGACAAGAAATTGTGTTTTCATGTTTTATTCGAGACAAGTACGTGCTTCTATATGCTGTCGCTGCATCGTAATACTGCTTCATTGAGGGCTAACTCTGTTTCTTTTATAGAAGATGCTGCTTTGCTGTTCGAAACTGACTTAAGGACTGGGCCACAAACGCTGGGCTCTCCGTTAACTAACCAGGTTGTTGAGACGCGTGTTGCACCAGCTAACGCTGTGTCTACTGATCTCCAGCGCGTCTTCTACTGCGACTACGTTCCAGACGATTCGGAATCTCCTCAAAACACAGTTTCATCGATATCGTTGACTACAAGCGTTTCGAATCTGGACTCATCGACTGACGAGTTTCGTTTTCAGCGGATTGAGCACGAGAAGTTCTTCCTACCGTACGGCAAGGCAGAAAGCTGCCATTTGGTGTCGAGAAAGCAAAGCAGAGACCACAAACGGGAATTCGCCAAGTACGATCGCGACTCAAACAACAGGCTTGCGTTTTCTCGCGATATGCATGGTTGGTTCGACGGTATGAGCATTGAGGTTCCCATCGTCAACATGCTGCCCGGATCTGTTGAAGAGAATCAATCCATTGGCAACAGACGCAAGGTACTGTGTGAGCGCGTAGTTCTGGTGTGTGTAAGTTTACTGACATTTGCGTGTAGGTCGAGGTCTTCGTGAAGGTTCTGGATGCTCAGTGCACAGATGGCGTTTTCAGTCGTTTGAAAGAAGGATCAACCACGACGAACGATCCGCTCATGATGAAGACGTTTGTTCACGTGGAGGATCCAGAAACATTTTGTTTGTGCATGAGGTGGAAGCACGACGATACTGCGGAGCGTTGGAGAAGCTATTGGGATATGACTCCTGCGGTCGATTGAATGGAATAATGTGGCTCCCGAGTTAAATACTTCGAAGTAGTATTTGATTTCTTGACATACTTTGATCCTGATAAATATAAAGTTAGTAATATACAAAGATGGCGTACTCTCCTGAGCAATACCAAGCTAGCAAGGAACGTATCAAAGCAGCGCAGAAGCGCTACTAACAGCGCACACGCGAAGCCCGTTTATCTTATCAAAAAGACTACGATGACAAGAATAGAGACCAGATTCGAGCTCGCAAGCGTAAACCCAAAACCGAACTTATTGATGGTGAAGTCGAACTTAATAATGAAACCGAACTTAATTAATTAATTAATTTTTTTCCTCGGATAAAAAGTCGCCTATGATATAAAGTCAATCCTGATACAAGACCCAATATTATAAAGTCGTTTTTTCGGAGAATAATATAGCCACCGATATATAGCAATGTTCGCATACGAGCTTGAAGGTCTTAAGAGATTAAATATTAACCCAATCCGATGGGGTAGCAGCTACCGTATTAAGGTACGTGGCAAGACGGGGCGCATGGTATACATTAGCAACATTTCCCACCCCATCAACCAAAAATTGGTAGCGAAGCAGTACAAGATCAGTCTAGGCAAGCTCCAAAAGAATTTGGCTGCTGATTTCAAGGAAGACAGTAAGTACCGCTTCTACCAAGGCAAACACATGGAGTCGCACCTATATGAGGGAATCCAGCCTGCTGACTTCTACGACAAGCTTGAGAACGTGCTTGCAACCCAGAAGTCTGCCTTCAAGGTCAACATCGCTCTTGGATACAAGCTTGTCAGCAGAACTGATGACAGCGAGACTCGCTACTTCCACCCGAATATTAGCAACACATCTGTATTTAGCACTCCTGTAGCTATCAACAGCAAGGATGATATTCGTAAGAAGGTGATCTCGGAGATTCGCTCCATGGAGTTGGCTGACAAGCTCAACTACCCCAGCTCCGGGTACATGGTGAAGGGGATTACTGGCTTCAATATCTATATCTACCAACGCGACCATGCTCTGGGTGATAGCGAGGCTGTCATTCCTAAGGTGATTCGTGATAACAAGCACGTCATCAACTTCCCCAAGACGAACAACAAGTGTGTCTTCCACTGCATTGCTTATCACAAGCAGGAGGGAGCCAAGAAGGATCCTCGCAGAATCCAGGCTCTGGTCAAACAAGCCTTCAAGCAGTACTGTTCGTACAAGGAGATCACCTACACTCTGGGTCTGTTCCGCAATTTCAAGCCTATCGACATTCTCCAATTCGATGAGCTTGAGGAGTGCTTCAAGCTGAACATCAACGTCTTCAACATGGATGTTGAGTCGGACAAGGTTGAATGCATTCGCTGCTCGGACAAGGACTATGATTCGATCAACATCCTGTCGCACGAATCACGCTCTCTACATCACGAACGTTGATATGCTCCAGCAGAAGTACCAATGCTCTACGTGTGAGATGGTGTTTGTTAGCTCTGATAAGCTACGCAACCACACTAAGAACCAATGCGAACGCGTGAACATCGAATCGTTCCCAGCTCAGCCAACCATCTACCAACCCGCTCCGAACAGCATTCGTTCCATGCTGACTAAGTACTCCATCAAGGATGCTGACCATTACATCGATCACTTCATTGTCTATGATTTTGAGGCTATCCTCAAGCCTACGGGTGTCAAAAACGGAGAGAATACTATCTTCACAAACGAACACATTCCTGGGCCGACAGCTTGACTGAGGAGGTGCGATGCTTTGTCAGCGATGACCCGAAGGAGTTGCTCAAGGATATGTTCCAGTACATCAAGGAAGTTGCCGCTAAGATTCAGCAGTACAACGTCTCGAAGTACGAGTCTTTGCTCCGCAAAATCATCAACGTCCATGGTTTGACTGACGCTGAGGTTCCTGTTCTAGACGTACAAGATGGATGATGTCAATGTTTGGATTCAGAACGGGGAGTTTGCTTGTTTCTTCGATTTCCACAGCAAGCTCACATTCGGTAAGAAGCGCTCGGATTATGGCAAGCTGAAGCAGTGCATTGGTCAGGTACCAGTATTCGGATTCAACTCTGGACGCTACGACATCAACCTTATCAAGGCGGACCTGTTTGCAGTCATCGGTACTGACAACATCACATCAGTCATCAAGAACCCTAGCTACATGTGCATCGCCACGTCAGACATGAAAATGCTTGACATCAGCAACTATGTTCCGGCAGGCACCAGCTATGCAAAGTACTTGTCGACATATCTCGGTGAGTGCAAGTGTGATGACAAGATTCGATGCGTCTGTGGCCTAGGAAAAGGCATCTTCCCATACGAGTACATTACTTCATTTGAGGTACTCAGTCAGCCGGAAGTCCCTCCTAAGTCGGCGTTCGACAGTGCTCTTCGTAGCACTAGCATCAGCGATGAGGACTATGTGCGGGTACAGTTCGTCTGGGAACACTATGACATGAAGTCAATCAAGGATCTACTCATTTGGTACAACAACCTCGATGTAGTACCCTTCATCAAGGCCATCAAAGCCCAGCGAGAACTATTCAAACGTTTCGAACTTGATATGTTCACTGATGGTGTGTCGCTACTTGGTCTCTCTGAGAAAGTCATGTATCAGACGTGCTTCAACAACCTCCAGCAACCAAGTAAGGAGCCTGCTGAAGCGTTTGACTTTCCCGCTAGTCGCTTAAGTGGATATAAGACCCAGGATGCTGATGCCGATCGTGAATTCAATATGACGCTAGAACACCTCAACGACTTGCTAGAGCGACAAAAGTACCTGTGTGGGCTATGCTACAAGCAACTCACAGCTGATACCGCCTCGGCTGACCGAATCAATAACAAGCTCGGACACATCGATGGTAATATCTTGATCAGCTGTGTGGGATGCAACGTTGCTCGCAAGAACATGTCGCTAAAGGGCTTCCGCCACAAGAAGCTACTTGAATTCAACTCAGACAGGTTGGTGTGCAGTATCGATAGAGAGGAGAATCTACACCAAGATGAAGGCGAACATTGCTGGTGGTCCTTCTATCATCTTCACCAGATACGCGAAACGCAACGAGACCAAGATTCGAGGGGGGTAGGATCTGCAAAAAGATCATCGGCTACGATGCTAATGCTCTGTATTTGTGGGCTCTTGGTAATGAGATGCGATGTGGACGGTTGACTACCATCGAAGCATACACAGGGATCGTCGATGATATTGTATATGACAAGATCTTTGGCTTCCTCGAGTGTGATATCCGTACACCAGAGCACCTCAAACCCTACTTCAGTGAAATGACCCCAATTTTCAAGAACACCCTCATCGACTGCAGCGATCGGAGTGTCATCGGTCATCACATGTTCGAGTACAACGAGGAGCGCAAGCAAAGCCGGCTCGCAAACTCATCGGGAGCTACTTTGGTGAGAAGATCCTCATTTATGCACCGCTACTCAAATGGTACATTTCTCATGGTATGGAGATCACCAAGACTTACAGCTTCATCAAGGCTAGCTCTCACAAGGCATTTGCACCATTCATGGAAGCCGTATCGAGCGCGCGACGAGAGGGTGATGAAAATGTTAAATCCATATGTAAGATCATTATTGAGAAGGTATCTGACTCTGATATGGATGATTTAGTCCAAGAGTTGAAAAAAATCATTACGAGCCCAAATCATTTGATGCGCTCATTATCGATAGATTCAAGAATGAATCGACAACCAATCCTAAGATTCATTTGGTTCTAGACTTGTTGACTAAGCTGAAAACGCTTAGTGAGGGTAGCAATAATAAGGCTATGGTTGCTGAGATGATGAAAGTGGTTGGTAATAGTGCGTTTGGTCGATCTGGCATGGACATGAGCAAGCACAAGGAGGTCAGGTATGAGTCGGACGATAAGGCAATCAAGGCCAAGATTGAGCACTTCACCTTCCATGGAATGGAAGAGCTGAATGATTCATGTGAATTCACTATGAAGAAGAGAAAGCTCAACAATACGAACCCAATTCATCTATCGATTGCAATCTATCAGCTCGCTAAGCTCCGTATGTTGCAATTCTACTATGATTGCATTGACTTCTACTTCGACCGTTCGGAATTCCAGTACCAAGAAATGGACACAGACTCGGCTTATATTGCGTTCAGCTGTGAGAAGCCATTCGTTGAGTGTATCAAGCCCGAGCTTCGTGAGCATTTTCAGCAGCATAAGTACGAGTGGTTCCCACGTGATTATAGCGAAGAGATGGCTCAGCTTGATCGCCGAACGCCAGGTTTGTTCAAGGATGAGTGGTCTGGTATCACTGTCCGCTAATAACTACATTGGCTACCTTCCAGACGAATCTTACAAGGTCAAGGTTTCAGCGAAGGGAGTCCAGCAGAGTGGTGGCCGCAATGGCGACGTCCTCAACCCAGATGGCTTTGAATCAGTTGTTCGCGATCGCATCACGCTACAGGGCACCAACAAGGGGTTTAGACTCAGTAAGGAGAGTAAGTCAATCATTACGTACACCCAGACTAAAACAGCTCTAAACTACTATTAGGACAAACGTCGTGTACTTGCGGATGGTATCACCACCGAACCGCTCGACATATAAGCAACTACCTGGCAGGGGATTTTTTTGTTTTATAACCATATAGAGCGATGGATCAGCTGTTGTCCATATTATACTATGACCCCAAAACGGGCTATGTGGGTGCCCAAGCCTTATACCAGAAGGCTAAAGAACTGGAGCCGAAGATTACGATGAAAATCGTCACGGAATGGTACTCAAACCAGAGCGATATTCAGCGATTTCAGGAGCAGAAGAAGCGATACGATAGGTTCAAAGTCGCATCGACTAACCCCAATTCGTGGCAGATGGACTTGGCGTTTTGGGAGAAAAGACCAATCTTGACTGCGATCAACATCAACTCTCGGCTAGGCTACGCAAAACTACTAACCAACAAAACTGGCCCGACCGTACTAGCAGCAATTAGGGTTTTTGTCCGCCTCCATAAGGTTGACATTCTCACAACCGATAATGGTTCAGAATTCATGAACCAACAGGCTCAGAAATTATTCAAAACTAAGAAAATTGATCATTTCAACAATGAGCCTGGAGATCACGCCAAAATGGGTAAAATTGAACG